TAGGGGCATATTAAGCTACTAGCCAAAGCTGGTGGAAGGCACTCCAAGCCACGGAAGACACCTGGGTCTCAAGTGACAAAGACAGCTCAAGGAGCACCCCCAAGTTATGAAATTGCTCCTTCAGGAGGAGTGTGAACCCATCTAGAATAGACTGGATTCCTTCCACCCACCAACAGAACCTCGGTCTTGTCTGAACTGAGCTTCAGTTTGTTAGCCTCATCCAGGCACCAGTTCGGCACATCCACAGCCTCATCTGCTGCAGATGAAAAGGAGAGCTAGAGTTGGTGTCATCAGCCTACTGATGGGAATGCACTCCAAAAGTCCAACAGTTTAATGGGGGACAAGACTGGCCCTTGGGCTTCTCCCCATTTGCACTCAAGCCATCTCCTGATTTGTTTGATCACTCTCAGCTCTGGGGTACCCCATGGAGCCATACAAGCTCTACTACAGAGAGGGTACTCAGGAGTGACTGTATCAACAGCCTGGGTCATCTCTGTATTCCAAAGATCAACCAGGAATTTGACAGGATCACCAGCTATGTCAGCTGGAACAAGCACCCCCCCCCCATCCCCAGCCCTCTGGAAACCCTCTAGATCCGTCAGTCTCCAGGGGTGGACCATCTTAATGGGTCCCCACCCCTGCAGAGGGGAAAAGTCACCACTAGTCTAACTCTCAGCAAGCAACATTACCACTATTGCCCACAAAAGTGGGATTTGGTCCTGCTGTGCCATTCAAACACTTCAGGGGTGTGAGGTGGAAAAAGCTTTATTCGACAGAAAAAGGTCTTGCACAAAGTAGGCAAAATGGAGCCCCAAGGAAAAAAAACAACTCCCCTTTTTATCACATTTTACCTGAATGTAAACAGGAGCTAGCATAGTCTTGTCTTTCAGGGTTACAGAACTGCCTCCTTCCTAAACCTAGGCATGGGCATGTCCAGAGGAAACTTGGGTCTGTCCTTCACTACAGCAAAGCCACCAGTTATACATTTTTTGTCTTTAAATAGTACCGCACATCCTCCAACTACCCTAGAAGAAAGGGCTTCCCCAGCTGGCCCACTCGCCCTTGCTTGGCTGTCACTGGAAAGGTATCCTTCCGGTTCTCTTTCCTACAAGTGGAGGAACAGAGGTTTGTGGGAAGAATCCACCTTATGTGGTGAGATGCTCAAGAGTGTGCGACCGACTGGGACTCAGGCGATCTGGGTCCTAGTGCCCACTCAGCCATGGAGCTCACTGGGTGACTTTGGGCCAGTCACAGGCTCTCAGCTCTTGTGAGGATAAGACTGAGCAGAGAAGAATGATGGAAGCTGCCTTGCAGCCCTTGGAGGGAAAAAGGCAGGATATACATATGAAGAGGAGGTTATGGATTGAGCTTGTCAGTTTCTGCAGTGAGCAGGAATGAGGGCCTAGGGTGTTCTATAGGTGACTCATGTGCATTATCACAGCCTTCCTGAAATGTGACTGTAAAGTAAATCCATCTTCCTGCAAAGCTGTTGGAATGTGACATAGGCACTTTTAAAACAGAATTTCACCCATACACACTATGAGCATGAGATGGTTTCAAAAAGCACGTCTGACCTGTCTTAACCATTTCAGGGCCACCTGGACCTAATGCAGACAGTGTTTTCATTACCATGAGAAGCTCAGGGAGCTCCTGGAGAAAGACAAAAGTTCCACCCTGGAGCAACATTAGTACTGGCCAATCATTTCCCAATTCCTTCAAAAAAGGGGAGCAAAGGGGGGGTGCCTCAAAAAGGTGGACCCCCCCGACTACCTGTAATTCAAGTACCAGGCAATGGAGATCCTGTGTGCCTGGACCTTTATGTTTTCCTCCCAGAACTAAGAGCGGCATTGGAGTAGTATTGGGAGGAGCAGTTAGATGAGGGAAATGTCAGGAAGAGAGGATTAAAACCACTTTCTTGCATCCTTTCCCTGATTAAGCCCTGCTTGGGGCTGCTAATTAATAAAACAAACACCCACAGGGGATCTGTGGTGGCTAATCTCCCATATCATGTCAAGGATGACTCTCAAACTTAATCATACAGCATTTCAGATACAAAATACATTGACCAGTAGGGGGCTACAGACTATCAGGATGACTTCAGAAGTGGAATTTGCCTTAACCTATTGTTTAACATCTGCAACAAGAGTGACATATTTTAGTAGTGTCGGCACACCCTTTCCGGCTGTTGTATAGAATAGTGCAAGAGGCAACGGATGAAAAAGGGAGTGGCCTTATCGAAAGAAATGTTTTCCTACAGGCTATAAACCGGTGTTGGCTATGATTATTTTATTTTCATTTATTTATGCTCAATTTCCGGTCCAGAGCCATTCATGGAAGTGTTTGTCAATGAGGCTTTTTGTTGCCCTGTGACAAGAAGGGCAGCATTTTCCAAATTCTCACCACTGAGGAACACTTTAATTTAAATTGGAGACATGCAATATCCAGCACAAGTGAAAAAGCTTGGCTTTGAGGTTCATTGGCATTGCCTATCCAGAAGTGAAGCTTCTCGAGCCTGCACAAACTGCAGGCTGGAAGAAAGCATGCCTATCAAAATGCTCCATGCAGAATCACACCCGACTGTTTCCTCAGTGGGTGGATGCCTGGGAACTGGATTCTTTATTTCTTTGTGTGCAACAGTTGTTCTTCTGCAGTACAGCCAGGAGCCTCAACATACAGCTTGGGAACTAGAGCCAAGGAGGTAGCATGGGAAGACCAACTTCTTTCATTCTGCGAGGTCTGTCGTTTCTTGAGAGCAGCTCACTGCTACTGAATTGATGGACCGTGATTCCAAGCTTAGCTGGTCCTGAAGATACACTGATCAACGTGCTAGAAGAGTCAGTGAGAGTCATGTGATATTTATTATATTTCTATCCCTCCTTTCTTTCTCTTTCAAGGAACCCAGGACGACTTCCACAATCCTCCTTCTCTTCACTTTATCTTCACAATAACCCTGTGAGGTAGGTTAGGCCAAGAGGCAGTGACTGCATCAAAGTTATCCAGTGAGCTTCATGCCCAAGAAACACATTAGCAGAGCATGCTGGTAGAATGGCTAAAATTGGGAAGAGACGTGGGTAGAGCAGGGGGAGCACATATCCTCTGTATCATATGCCTAATTTACTTCTCGCTGCACATTCTAGGCAGCATGACTTACATCAGTCCTAGTCCAAAGAATTTCCCTCCCATCGATTGCAGTTGGGGGAGGCAACTAAAAATGGCCATCTGCATGCCCATGACCTCACTTACCATGACCAAAAGCAGGAGCCGAAGGTCCTCTGCACCCAGAAACAGCACACCATGACCCTCCCCTACACACATAGAAAGGCAATGCAACAGCAGGGTGTGCGGCCCCAGACGATACCTCTCCACCTTCATATCGCGCACAGCCGGGCGTTCCCAAAGGGACCCTCGGGTGATAAGGAATTATGGACAATGGGCTGTTTGCACAACACAGCCCAACCTTGCGACACACACAGAAAGCCAAACACTATTAACACTTCTCTTCCCAGAACTTTTGCAGCAGGGGTGCCCAATCCTTGGGGTGCAACACACACCTTTTCACGAGGAAGGCATGTCTCCACCACTTGTGCAGCAGGAAGCTGTTTTCTGCTCACAAGTAAGAAAGACTGAACCACTCCACAACATTTTCGAAGAGCATCCCAAAGAGCAAGCATCTGCATGTCTACTCAAGAAGATGTAGGGAAAGAAAGACAGAGACAAAAGCCCTAAGAATTCCTGTTAGGGGAGAAATTAATTTGAACCACAAACCAGGGAGGGAAACAAGACCAAGATGGCTGCAGTTTGGAGCTAAGAAACAATGTGGATACATTGCGAGGATGGCATTTTTAAAATGCCACTGGTCTACATCATTCCCAATCTTCTGAATGATGCCTTTCACGGGAGGGATGGAGTTCCATTATTCCTCGGAGCAGGCATGGGGTGCTGGGAGGACAAGGAGAACAAAACCCTCCCGGGCAGGGGCCCTCGCTGTGGCTTTTTCGTATGTCGAAAGAACAAACTTCCTCACTCATTTTTTAAAAGGAAATTCTGAGTCAGATGGGCTTGCAGCTGGTTCAGGCAGGCAGGCAGGCAGGCCGGGAGGGGGTGGAGAAGAACCGAGGCAGACCCTGACTCATCAGGAGAGCTTCTCTGGGCGCGGGGGCTCCAAAGGAAATGAAATCACTTTTAGAGGGAGGCGAGGGTCCAGGGGGGCTGCAGGAGGCAAACTCAAGATGTGCGTGTTTTAAAAGGAAGGTGGGTGAGGAGGAGGGAGAAGGGGGGTCAGCAAAAGTATGAAGGAAACCATAAACTTCAGGGCCTTGAGCCAAGCGGGAGGTGCGGGGGCATGTTAAGGGGTGGGGGAAGAAACCTCCGAGACCGGGCAAGGAGCAGCAACAGCCAAAGGCAAAGCCGTTCTCCAGCAAGCGGCAGCCTTGACTCCTCCCCTTCGTCCAGGCTGCAATCCGCAGCATCCCCGCTTGCTGGGCAAACGCAGCGGAACTTTGGCGCGGCTCTTGCCCGAATCAGCCGCGCACGGCTTGGGCCAAGGCAGCGCTTCTTGCGCTCCCGGGGACGTCAGCCCTGCACAGAGCTGGCCGAACCCTCCATCCCCGTCTTCCCCAAGCGGGCTGCAGGCGGAGGTTCTCCCGCGCCCCTTTCCTTGCGCGCAAGTCTCACTGCACTGTGCGGAGCCTCCGCCGGAGGAAGCGCAAAGAGGCCTGCGTGGCACGCACGCAGCCGCGGGCCGACCCGGCGTCGCGGGGGGCGGGGGGGTGGCCGACCGCGGCGCGGGTCAGCCTCGGGGAAGGAGCGAGCGCCCTCGGTGCGCCGCCGCCGGCCTCCCCGCATTGCCACATTCCCCGATGAGTGAGCTCAGCTGTTAGCTCAGAGCAGCCTCTCTCCTTTTATGGTCAAACAGCCTGGGCAGGGCGAGGCTCCTTCTGGGGCTCCTCTTCCCCCGCCCCCTCCGCGCTTCCTCAACACCCCTCCTGGCAGGAGCGCCCGCTCACAAAGTTGCGCTCGGGCCAGGCGAGCAGGCAGAGTCCTCCCGGCCGCGCGGGGGAGGAGGCGACGCCAGCGCCGCGGGAAGCTGCGAGCCCGCCGCCGCCGCCGCACACCTTGCTCAGGGAGGCGCCCGGGGCGACCCGAGGCCAGCAGCCCGCTCTGCCCGCTTCCAGGGCCACCAGCGCGGAGGTAAGCCTGCCCTTCCCCTCGGAGGAGCGCTGGCGCCCGCTCCCCCTACCCGATCTGCGGGTTCCCGAAATGCGCGGCTCGCGAGCGGCCGGCTGACCCCTGGTGCTCTCCCGGCCGAGTCCCCGAGGGTCGGCTGCTCTTCCGCGGCAAGGTATGCTTGCGCCCGAGTGACTCTCGCGGCGTTCAGCGTCACCAGCCCCCGGCAAAGCGCGCGCGGGACGGTGGCACCCAAAAAAGCGCGCGTGGGCGCGTTCCTCGAAAGCCCGGGTGTCTCCGCCGGGCTCCCGCGGGAGCGTGGCTGGGACTGGGCTGAAAACTCCGTGCGTCCCCTCCGGCCTTACTTGAGAGACAGCCTCCCCCTTTCCCCGTCGCTGCAGGGAAGGGCTGCCTTCGGCCGCCGCCTCTGTCTCGTAAGTTGGTTAAAGCGGAGATGTTGCCTGCTTTGAGCTTCTACAAGCGCAGGGTGGGGGGACTCTTTGAATCCCCATCCCGAGTATTCGTCCGGATAGGTGGCGGAAAGCCTCCGTAAGCCCTTGCGGGAACGCAACTGTTGCATTTCGCTTGTTCCCTTCCCTGAGCGACTTAGCAGTGCTGCCTATTTTGCTTGCTTGCTTGCTTTCCCTCCTCTCCCGAAAAAAGCAAAGGATAAAGGGTTGTAGGTACGAGCTGCTGGTGGGGGTGGGGAGCAGCCGGGTGCGGGGAACCTTAGCCCGATTTTTTTCCTCAGTTGTTAGTTCTGCCGCTCCCTCTATAGTTTATTCACAGAAAAGTACTATTTGCTGGAGTTTTTTTTTCATTTGCCAACAAAGCAGAAAAGCACAAGATTAGCAGTGATGACTTGCATGTTGCAAGGAAGGGGACGTTAAAGAACGGATCTTGCAGCCAATTGTTCCCTTGTGAGCCCACTAGCTAGGTTAACAAAATAGAACTTCTCAGCTGGAAAGTAATAAACTTTGCATGCTGACTTTCAATGTTACCGGTGATCCAGCAGCTGGAACATGGTGCTTTCTTGGCCTACACCTCTTGTCAGTCCCAGCCAGCATGCCAAAGATCAGAAATTATGGAAACTGTAGTCCACAGTGTCTGGAGAGCACCATGCTGGGAAGATTGTGCTGGATCTTTCCCCAAGTTTTAAAGGTGTAAGGTCAATCTGTGAGTTTTCTCATAGTGGACTTGCTCTAAGCAATTAGCATATTGTTTCACAAATAACTCTAAAATCACTACAAACTTAGGGGTTCTGATAAGAACATTAATTTCTCACAGTATGCTCACATTTTAAGAGTATTGTTCATTCTACATTTACAGAAATAGAAAATGTGTAGCCTGTTACCTGCAAGTATTGTGTGAGATTTTGCATTGCACAGGCACTGATTTTCCTTTAGAAAGGGGAATGAACAGTCTGTAGTGGCTGAGAGCCTTCTCTGTGGTAGCCCCCTGATTGTGGAATGCTCTCTCTTGTGAGGTCTGCCAGGCACCAACTTTGTCTTCTTTTTGATGTCAGGTGAAGACTTGCATCTGCTCCCTGACATTTGATGGCATTTGACTTTTACTGGTTATTGGCATGTTTAAGCATTTTAACTCTTTCTGTATTTCAATCCCATTGGCTTTTTTAGGGAGATATGTCTAGTAAGTGTAATAAATAAAAAGAAAAAAGATGATCATAGTGGCAGGGCAAAAGCTTGTCTAATGCTGGGATGGAGGTTGTAGGCTCCTTTTAAAAGCCGGGACCTCTCTTTGTTCCTGTGTTTCACTTACCCACTGGTAGCAGCCATTTTTCTGCCTTTATACTTCAGTAGCAAAATTGCTAAGTGACCCATGGTATTTAGGAAGTGTGGACACACCAAGTTGCTAGGCCTCTCAGAATTTAGTGATTGCCTGAATCAGTTCAGGCCAGACAAGGTTCTGATTAATGGCCCATGACCCACCAGTCACAGCTCAGACCATGTATCATGGCTTGGCACATGTTTGACAGAGTCTTGGTTTTGCACGTACAGGCAGGCAGTCGAAACAGGCGGTCTGAGGGTTGGAGTAGACTGCCACATTGCAGATCATGGATTATGTTTGTTTGTTTGTTACATTAATGGCCTGCCTTTTTTCCTTTCAAGGAACTCAAGGTGGCTTACATAATTCCGCTCCTCTCAATCTTATTCCCACAACAACAACAACCCTGTGGGGTAGGTTAGGCTGAGAGTCTGTGACTGGCCCAAAGTCACCCAGTTGGCTCCATGGCTGAGCAGGGACTAGAACCCAAATTGCTTGCATCCTGGTCCCACATTCTTAACTACTACCATTTTATCCTGAGGTGCCCCAAATGATTTCTTCTGCATTTAAATAATCTACCTGGAGATGGAAGGCATTCGGACAATCTGGAGTCTGTGTTCTTTATGGTCTCCAGGAATAAGTGGTAATGCTTTTCCAGGACTGTACCACTTGAGGCTGCAGGTGGGGTTGCATTTCAGAACTGTCCATCTTGAGAGATGGAAATTTAGCATGTAACAGGAAGGCGAGGTTGCATCTTTCTCCTTAATGTGCATTTTTCTTTGCTTAGAGGGATGTCCCTTCCCTATTACCAGAGAAGAGCATTCAAGCATGCTCCCTACCCACTGCTTATTGAAATGGTGCAGCCCAGAAAAATCTTTACCATTTGTTTCTGCTGACTGCATAAACTGGCTCCTTGTCAATTCCTCTCCACCACATCAAAATACTCTGTACCAGCCCATGAGCTTCACAATTTAATCCCTTTATTGATTAGTCTACAATAGCCAGATTATATTATAATTTGCATATAGCAGGGCTTGTGCACAATGTCATAGATTGCATATTCCACAAAAGTTGCTGCAGAAAACCACAGCTTAGTGACTGAACCCCACATGGCTAAAACCTGGCAGGTCCTAATTGTTCTACTAATTGCTATTCTATCTCCAGCACACTGAATGGCTTGGGCTTGTTCATTTTATAGCATGCTTCAATTGCTAAGAGATGCATTGTGTGACTACAGTTATCTGTGGAAATTGTGGTAGACAGCAATGATCACACTTCCCTCCTCTCAAAATCCCAGCCAAAAACACTGGCATTGCAAGCCTATTGTGTGAATATTGTGGATAAAATGCCTTTATCCATCTTTCCCAGCAATTCAATGTGTCTGGCAAGCAATGAAATGTCATCATATGTGACCTCAAAGCAGCTCATTTGTACATCTATAAAAACAAGGTTAATAACACATTACATCTGCAAAAAAGTATCATTTCTATATGGGTTTGGCATCCCAGAACAAATTTTTAGCTAATTCTTAAACATTCATATAGAAAGGGTCTGAGATAGTTTCCCCCGAGATAATTCCCCAGGTAAGACAACTTTTCAAAGAAGTTCCTGCACCTTGTGTTTTCTGGCTCTAAAACAAGAAACCTGTGGATTTCACTTGCTATTAACACATCCTGGGGACGGGGTGGGGGGTGGGGAGAAGGTCCTGAGAAGATTTTCTAAGAAATCTTGAAACACTTAAAAATAATCTATTCCTTAGAACATGAGTGGGCATCTCCAGGTGTTTTAGACTTTGTTCCCAGAAGCCCCTGGCAGCATAACCAGTGGCCAGGAATGCTGGGAGTTGAAGTCAACTTTTTGCTCATTCATGCCCTAGAAGTGCATGTTCAGTTTGTGAACTGTAATCTTAACCTCTTTCCTGGCCTTCTGAAAGGCTCTAAGGTGTTCATAGGCAGTTTTGTAGCAGCCCTTCCAAATAGTTGCAAGGTGAGGTAGTGTCAGAGCTGTCCTGGAGCCATCTGTATTTTGCAACCATATTCAAGGCAGGTCTCCTTCCCTGGGGCAGATTGGATAACTCGTTGGGGCCTGCCCTTTTGGTGGTGTGCTCACCCATTGTGAACATCTAAGCTAGACTTCGTTAGTTCTTGGGTCTCTTTTTTGCTGATATGTGACATATGTCTTGGAGTTAGGTTCAAGTGTTTATGGACAGCTAACAAATCTGGATTTTTAAAACCCTATTAATTTCAGAATCGGCCAGCCCTTTAAGTAACACTTAAGGAAGCAGTTGGCAAGACATAGTGTGGACTTCTCTTGGGGGTGTGAGGTTGCTGGGAAGGGAGAAGTGGGACAAGATGGGCAGGGCAGCTGCAAGTGGGAAGCTGCTGAGAGCATGTGGGAAAGGGGGTTGTCGTGGGGTTGAGGAGATGGGAACAGCTGTTCATGTTATGCAAGTGTGTTTATGGGGCAGCTGACTCCCTGGCTTTTGTATTCATGTTTCTTAAACATGAATTTTCATCCATTTTTATCTAGCCCAATTCTGCCATCTCTTGGATAATGAACCAAGTCTAAGCTGAAAACCTAATATATAGTCTCGCCTTTGAGCAGTGCAAGGGGAAAAGACCCCGGCCTCACTCCTGCATGAAACCAAATGAAACCCGACAGTTCTGGGAGGAAATCTTAGGCCTTAATTGGATAGTTCCATATGGGAAGTACTTTCTATCTGTTTCCAAGAAGTCTATTAAAACTGCTGGGCTCTACTTGGAAAGGATTCAGCAGACTCTGGAACAGGCTGGCCCTGGCCTTCCAAATCCAGGCTTCAATAGATTCTTTAAGCAACTCTGGGCTTTGAAACGATTTCCATGACTGTCTGGAGGTTTTCAGTGAGACATTAGTGATGCCGCTGACTTAGCGGTCAGAGCCTCAGGGCATGGCAGGTGAGGTCTGGCAGAATCTTGGGACAAGCTGATGGGTGTAGCTGGGAGGTATCAGTGAATGAGAAACCTGCAGTGCTTGATGGGTAAAGGCGGTGGGAGGAGTCACGAGTTTGGAACCCTGCTGATGGTGGTAAAGCCCTTAAGTAGAGCATAAATATTAGTTGTTGACAAAAGATACTTGACTTTTAAGGTGCAGGCTTTTCCATGCAAGGCCTGAAAGTATCGCATCTAGCATTTGTGTTGCAATATGTTCTCGTTGTTCCACATTTTGCCTGCTTGTACAGATCTGGGAATGCTTGGCTGACCAAACCTGATGATGCCCTTCTCAGGGTTACCGCTGGCATCCTTTGCTGTGCTGCTTGCTCTTGCCTGCAAAAAGGCCAGCACGGATGGGCGGGCATTAGGGCAGTCTCCGTGTAGCTTGCGCTGGGAAAGGAGGAGTGTCGCTCCAGGAACGTGTCAGCGAGGCTGCCTGGGTCCTGGACAAGCTTCCTGTGGGGGGCTGCGGGTGGGGGGGAAACGGCAGAGCAGGGGCGCTCATCTTTGGCCGCAGGGATGATAGGAAGGGCTGGCAGGACAGAACCGCGGCTGCCTGCGCAGGAGGAGGGCGTGGGGACGTGTGTGTGGAATGCTAGGAGCAGCTCGCGCGCCGACGACTCCACCATGGAATTTGCTCGGTTTCCTTTTGTTTGGCTTCTGCTGCAGCTCGCGTGAGCCTCTTCTGTGTGAGCAGCCTCAGCCAGCGGCCTTGAGGTAAAGAGAACAGTGGGCAGCAGCAGACGGAGGTGTTTCCCAGGCAGGGGGTGTGATAAGAGTTTGAATGAAGGGCGCGGGGGTGGGGGGGAGCTGCTGAAAGCTTTCTCGCCGCCCTCGCCCCAGTCGCTTTGCTTAAAAATGGAAAGGAATGCTTTGGAAGTCAGACACGATCCTTCAGGCTCCGTGCCCCGCGGTACATCACCGTCTCTCCAATTAATATATGTATTTGCACCAGCATGTCAAGTATTGGCATGGCTACTGCAACTCTTGCTGAGTCGGAATCCGCTCCCAGGCACATAGGTCATGCAGCTTTTGGTGCTGTGAACTTGCTTTCCTCCCGTGACGCCTGTTCAGGGCACGCCCCTCCCCTGCTCGCCTCGCGGGGTAGAGCTTTGATTGTTCCAAACTGCACATATGGAAGATATTTAGGCCTGGTTGCTGTTTCACAGAACCTGCCCTAGAGTGAGACTGGAGGCTGCCGTGCATGTATTCCTTACATCCTGGTTCTCTTCACCCTCTATTTTGACTCCCCACCCGCCTCCCTTAGCGCTGTCGCCTCTTGTCAGCTTCAGTGCCTTGAAGGCAGTATGGTGCAGTGGTGAAGAGTGCCCCGCTGGGACTTGAGCGATTTGGGTTCTAGTCCCCACTCAGCCATGGACAGGGTGGATTTGATTTAAATCACATTGATTTAAATCACTAAGTTAGACTAGATTTAGATCATGGCTTTCTGCATAATTTGCACACATGCCTGCCTTAGCCAGAGGAACCTTGTTAAAATATATCCAAACTGAGGCTCGTTTACAGCCTGCTGGTCGAAGTTTTCTCCTCCAGGGAAAGAATAATATGAAAAACCTCAGGCTGTATACAAAAAGATCCAAAGACTCAGCTTTCTGCTCAAAAGGTTTCACTTTCATTTTTACTGCTTGCCCTTCCCTCTTTACACTTAGCTTCTTGTGAAGATCTATTCCACGCCCAACAATCTTCTTACGTTCATTGAATTTTTTGAAACTTAAGATACAAGGGGTTTTATTTATTTAAAGTTTTTATATGCCGTTCCAATACTAAAAGTCTCTGGACGGCTTACAAAAAATAAAGTTTTTAAAATTCATGATTGTTTCATAACACTTTAATATACTTTTTAAGTCTTTTTTTTTTAATTTCACAATTTGAGAAGCTGTCCTGGGTAGTTACAATAGACAAATAAGCTGCAGAAGGTTATTAATCTTGATAGGTAGAAGATAGATATACAGGCAGTCCTTGGGTTACAAATGAGTTCCATTCCAGTGCCTCCTTTTTATTCTGTGTACATAGATTTGCAAAGGAGCAATGGAATTAAGGTATTTTTCTCAACTCTGTATAAAGTTTTTGCTGTGAAGAAGAGGCATGTGATCTCTGCAGACAAAAATTCACAGTTTTAGGAACTGTAAAACCAAACATCTGTGATAGTATCTTCTAGATTGAAAAATTGCCCAATAATCTTACAAAACCACTTGGAGAGCATGACATTGTGAATGGATTAATGGAATTCATTTACCAAAAAATGTAAACATTGCATGAATATACAGCCTCATGCTACCTAATTAAAAACTAATCTGTATTACACGTTGAATAACCTTTGGACTATAATGTATCTTAAATAGAAAACTACCCTTAAATAGATTTTTCCTCAAAAAATATTTTATTTAAAAAATCCAATTTAAATAAATCTGATTTTTAATTTTTTTAATGATTTTTATCCACCCTGGTGAAGGAATTTCCTGGGTGACTTTGGGCCAGTCACAGAAACTCGGCCCAAGTTACCTGACAGGGCTGTTGTAAGGGTAAAGATTCCGAGGTGGAGGATTATGTAAGTCTCCTTGAGCTACTGAAAGGAAAAAAGGTGGGATATAAGTACAATTAATTAATTAATGTAGCCTATGCCTTCTTTGGATTAAAGATGCTGCACTGTTTCTCTCTGCACAATGCTTGCTCTTGTCTGATGGCCTCTCTCCCCACCCCGCCTTGCCTCTTAGGTCCTGAGCAGCCCTGCAGCAGGATGGCCTCTCCAGGAGCCCCGGGGACCCGCATGACCTCTACCGTCAGCATCAACATCTCCACTCCAAGCTTCTACAGCCCCCAGAAAAAGTTTGCGCCTGTTGTGGCTCCCAAGCCCAAAGTGAACCCCTTCAAGGCCGCCAGCAGCGCAGTGCCTGAAAGTGCCTCCGAGCAACCTCTCCCTCCCTATCCTGGGGCCTGTGCCCAAATTGGGAAGGTGGGGGAGATCCCAGTTGTGGCAGCAGTTCCCCTCGCTGAAGGTAAGTCAGTCCCCCAACATTCTTTGCACCCCACTGGAAAAATAAGGGCGGTTCAGCCAGCAGCCTACACAGGGAGTCGGGGATATCTGGAGCAGCAAATCCAGACATTACTTTAAATCTGGGGTTAGCAGCCGTGTTTCTCCTCCATTCCAGTTTTGTTCCAGGGTGGGTACAAGGAGCCCATTCCAGATCTTGTTGGACCCCCTAGGACTACTGTATGGTAAAAGTAATACTGAAAAAGTATCTGCTAGAGATGGATGGTTTGGGCTCATTATTTTATCAGAACTGTAGGCAGTGGGTTGAAAAGGAGAGGCATAAAATTCTGGACTGAGTAGATACCAAATTTACATGATAAAGGAATGGGATTGTCTCTGTGCCAGGTGTGGCTGTCAGAACTGTTTTCCCAAGTGAAGAGAGAAAAATCGATCTGGGGAGTGAAGGATTGCAGTCTGTCTTTCTGTTGTGCAACAGAAGCTTACCTTCCGGAAGCTTTCGGGGCTGTGTTGCTCAGTAGAGCAGCTCTGGGGTTGTTCACTTGCACAAAATAACTCCTGCTGGGGGTGAGTACTAGAGAACTATCAGGAACTCCCTAGGTGGCCCTGGGGCAAGCACAGTGAGCCTCTCCTCCAGCTCAAGTGGGGAAAGTGTGCAAGTACAGCCAAGGTGTGGTCTTTACAACTAAAGAGGCAATCTTTAGTTGTACAGGAGTTCCACAGCAAGTTTAAAAACTGTTTTGAGTGTGGCTTTTCAAAGGCTGTCGAGATCTGGAAGCAGTGCTTAATTTTTTAAGGGAGTGGTGCAGTTGGGATAAGGTCTGCCCTTCTGCCAAGGAAAGAGAAAGAAGGCTGCCTCTTTCTCAAAGCAAGGCAGGCTGCAGTTGCTCAGTGAAGTGCAATGCTCTCCGTATGTGCTCAGGAGCACACATGCTGCTTGTGTGCTTGGTGGCCTGGTCTGTCTTTACCTTTTTAAAACGGTTTCCTGCGAGAGAGTATTCTTGGTTCACACACATCTTAGAAATTAAACTCTGAGGCATTTTGCCCTGATACAGTTGGCCACTACCCAAGGAAGCATCCTTGACTTGATAGCAGGCTTGCCAGAATGTTACAGTCCTCCTTTCCCAAGATATAAAGAGGAAGTGTTTGTATCCTTGAATCTTGCTGAAGTAAACCCAATAATGTGAGGGTTGGGTAAAAGCCCATTTCTTCATCTTCCCAGCCATGCAAAAAGCATTTGGGGATCTTAAGGCCCCTGGCAAGACAAGAACTATCCTTGCATCATGCTTCCTGGAGGTTTATTTGAAGTCTTAGCTGAATTTTACCAATTCAGTTATTAATTTTACCAGGGTTAAAATTACTTTAACCCTGTTAAAATGGAGAAATTTCTTTCTCCATTAAAGAATGTAAATGTCTCTGCTCGTCACTAGTGCTGGCATTCTTGTAATGCTGATCTACCAGTTAGAGCAGAGAGGTCAAAGCACGTCCTTCTTAAATGAATGCTGAATGACCTATGCATGACGCATGCCCGTGGGATTCAGTGGAGACCTTTTGGTAGGAAGTTATCTTACAGTCAGGTGTGGCCTACATCACAGGCTGATCTTTTTACTCCCCTCTTGCCAGCATGCAGAAGCTTGATTTTACCTTGCATCCGCAAGTGCTTTAGCCCTTTCTTTTCTGGGGTAAGCAAGCTTCCTCATTCTTGCAGGGAAAACACAGATGTCTCTGGCTTGGGATTGGGTAGAGTGAGCTTTAGTCTCTACATCGGGGTTGGGCAACATGCAGCCTGCCAGCTGTGTGCAACATACCTTGGCTGTTTATGTGCCCTCCGCCACTGCTGAATTTGCAGTGGCCACGGTGGCAGCAGCAGAAAAAGGCAGAGCCAGATCTTGGTTCAAAACAAGACACACATGGGGCACATGCCTTGTTTGGAAGCAGAAACAAGCCCCTAGAAGGGTGCTTTTGCTACTGATATGTCTCAGTGGCAAATTCAGTGGGGCAGAACTGCAGCCTTGGTGGGGCTTGGGGATCATCGTGGCCTCTGGAGGTTGCCCTCTTGCATTCTGTATCGAAACACAGTGTACTTCCTATTACTTACCCCTTACCTTTTGTGGCCTCTTGGCTCCCCTGGGTATAAACTGTCTCTCTTCCTTACCCACATACTCTCCACCTGGAATCCTGGGTTCTTCTGCAATAAATGTTGGTTCCTGAGGTGCCACCCATCTTTGTTTGCACTGCACCCAGCTAATATAGCTATGTCTGATGATTTGGTTATTGATCTCATTAGTGCAGGCTGAATGTGGAAAATAAACTGACTGTGATGTCCCTTCAGCAGACTGTGGCTTATGCAGTGTTCTGTGTGGTGCATTGGCAACTCAAGGCTGGGCTGGCGTGCAGTGGTGGCTTCCAGTCCCCACAGCACATTTTCTCTTGTGGCAAACAGGCACGGTGTCGCTTCCAGAAAGGGCAGTTGGATGTGCTGGCAGGCTGGATGCAAGGACAGCTGTGCTTTGTGTGGCAAGTGGCAGCTGGAACCACAGAAGTCTCCAGGAAGCCTGAAAAGGCCAAGGCATGCAGAAGTGGAAACCGTGCATGTTTTCATAAGGGGAGCAAGGGGGAGAGACACAGTGGGAAGAAAGGGCTGTTACTTGTCTAACAGATGAAGCTGGCGTTGGTGTGCCTCTCCCTGAAACTCTAGCAATCTTCCTCCCAGTGCACAACAGGCTATGGATGGAATAGTTGTCTTCAGTGGCTGGCAAAGACTTATCTCCGCCTTCCCCAACCTGGTGCCTTCCATATGTTGGATTTCAGCGCTCATCAGCTCTAGCAAGTGTGGGTAATGGTCTGGAATTCTGGGTACTGTAGTCTCAAACATCTGCAGTGCACCAGTTTGGGCAAGGCTGACTTAACTGGTCTGTCTTGTGTGTAAGAAGGACTCTCTGATAGTGTTTGATAGACCCAAATCCCCTCTGCCTCGGAGGCGGCTTTCCTTGTGAGGGTGATTCATATTTGACTTTGTCAGCATTTTGCTAGGCAGCCATTACGACAGGGAGAAGAACGTTGTGGGTCTTATCTTGATGGTTACCACATTTGTGCATACTTGAAACATTAATATTTGAGGAATAAACTCATGAAATTATTTGTTGATGCCTGATGAATGGAGGGAAAAAGTGAAACTGCAGCATAGTTCTTTGAATGCTGTTTGAATGCACTATGAAAGCTTGAGGAGGAGCTGGTCTATCAAAGAATAAATGGTGTGATAAAACTGTTCCTGGACAATGCCACTTCAGACTGCACTTCGTGGTTGAATGTCTTGAACATTTCAATGGCTACCATGACAAGATAAAGGGGTTGTTCTGTCTTTCTCCTTGACATGTAAGGCCTTTTTGTTTGCTTGTTTTTATTTGAGAGCAGAGAGCTTTATCCAAGGGATGGAACTACTCACACTTCCGAAGTCTCCACAGTCCCAAGTTGTACAGTCTGAGAACCATTTTACCATGTGAACTCTTGTTTGAGTAAACCTGTTCCCTGTTTTCACTGAAAGGGCGATTGGAAGGGAGTGTAGTATGTCATCTCTGTTGCAATACAGGAGTAGAATTGCTTTGTCCCCTGGCCCCTGCCTAGAGGAATGCCACAGTCCTCAATTCACTCGATTCAGTTCAGTTCAATGCCTGTTTGAACTTCTTACGACATCTTTCGTTCATTCCCAGTCAAGCTGAAGCCTGAAAATCAGGCTTCATTTAGCATTTTCGAGCAGTAGTGCCTGCATTGTGTTGCAACTTTCTTCAAATACTTGCTAAAGTTTTTTGCTGCAACGTGTAAATTATCTGCTTCCGAGCAGTGTTGTTCCTGCATCACTTGGTGTCCACGACAAACAAATTAGCTGTTCGTGTTTCTTTTGTTCTTCTGTCTCCTGCAAGTGCCCAACCCCAGGGGAGCAATATTGGTAGAGAATTCAGCTAATTCAGCAACATGCTCCTAGCAGCTTTGCTGCTTCCACTATGTATGCACATTGTGTGTTTACTCAAGGGCATACCCAAGCACCAAATACAACTTTCTCCTTGGGTGACTTTTCATTTGTACAATGGTATTGTGGTCTCCAGAGAACAATGTTTCCAGTTTTGTGGTTCTTGAGAGTGTGTAAGATTTGCTGGAACTGCTAAATGGTGAATGGGAAGCATAGCTGAACTCCTGGTTCAGTCTTAGTTCTACATGTGGGACCTGCAACGAAATGTTGCAGTGGGTCCTCTGGTGAAGTTCCCCAATCCACATCCCTGTCTTATGTGTGTATCTCCTAGCACTTCTTCCTAACAGTGTCCCGTGTGTGCCCATGCGGATACAGTCCTCACTTGATTGTGGTTTTTGCAGGGATGATAGATGCCTTTAAAAAAAAAGAAATTACTTAATTCCCCTTGACACGTAGACATCTCCCTCAGTAGCCCTGCTATGTGTAGAAAGTTATTGGTATGCAGCCACCCACTTTGCTATCAGAGGAGATGCCTTGTGATCAGAATATGGGTAGAAGTGAGCAAGTCAGTTGTGTTTGCAGCTTGAACAATTCCATGCAGATTATTCTAGACCTGGAGATGGTATCTTCGTGCCTGGGATGCAGGTGGGAGCTTGCATGGCTGAATTCCCACCCTACCATATAAATTCCTTCCACATAGACAACAAGTTGTCTGGGCTTTTTAGCCTAGTTTTCCATGTGAATACTGATGCTGTTTCTACCAAATATTTCCAAGGTGTGTAGCAAAATCAATAAATCAATTGGATAAATCATATGGGAAGAGGAAGAAATCTTTTAACTGCTTTTTTCTAATATCCCAAGTAAATAAAATTCTCTGCCACTAGAAAGAACAGTTCTAGAGAGGGAATTTGAATTTTGGCCTCAGCACGGAAAAGACCCCATTCCAGGTCACGAGCAGTCTCTTTTCCCAGTGTCAGTAAAGCCATTGCCAGGTTGTTCATTTTCTCAGAATCTTTATGAGAGGCCAGTCTCATTTTATTGTGCCATAAAACTGTGTTGATTGTGTCTTGATTTAAAACTTGTTAGGTCTGGATAAAAGCATTTTTATATACAGTTTTGACCCGTCTTGGCTTTCGGCCAAGACGAACGGAAAACCTGATTATAGATATACTCATAAGACGCATAAAATATCACAGAATACCATCATAACAATAAATTGCAGCAATTACAATCAAAACAAAAGTGATGAAAAGAGAGACATTGCAATAAAACAGGAGCACCTTAAGACTAATTTTACAAGAAAAAAAGAGTATGCTCCAGTCAAGTGGAATGAAAGGATGCCTGGTTGTGTCCATCTTTCTGAAAAATGCTGCCTCTTGTTACTTCTGTGTCCTTTGATCTGAAGGAGGTTGTCAGGCTGTGGGGTGATAAAAGATGCAACCCCCATGCAACTGAGAGCAGATATTTTACCATCTCAGCTAACTCAGACAAAACTGTTCTAGATATGTGAACAACTTTAAGCTTCCCATGTGAGCAGGAGTTTTAACATGGCAGAAAAATCAAGAAACATTGCCCAAGAAGGAAAAAGACTGTAGTCATTTTGGCATAAGAGTCATTTGCGTGCTGACTTCTGTCATTTTCCCCCTGTCGAGTGATAGGTACCTGGTGGGCCCCTTGGGTTCCTTTTGTCTGGGCCCAGTATGGTCTGCAGTCCCAAGAGCTCCTCTCCCTCCTCTTTTGGATAAGCTTGGTTGCTTTTTCCCATGAGAGCTGGTGCTCAGACAAAGGCATCTTTGCCCTACTTTTGTTTGCCCAGGTAATGGCTGTGTTGCATGATATGCAAGAGGGCTGTACCGAAAGCTTCACTGCTATTTGGGTGTGAATGAGATCCCTTTGTCTGCATTGGCTGGAATGTTAAACAGGGTGGCTGGCCCCCTTTTTGTACCTTAACCCCCCCCCATCCATTTATAGAGCAAGTCCTGAGTGCAGGAGAGAGCAGATAAGAGTGCAGGAGGAAGGAGAGAAAGGCAGGTGAGGTGGGATCCCTGAATACTCTTCCTCCCCTAAAGACAAGGAACTAGTGGGTGGTATAGATCCTATCTGCCTGTCTGTCCCTCTCTGCTGTCTTCCCACATCAGTGTCATTTGCTTGGATACGTGGGTGGAAATGATTCCTTTGGTTGTGGGGACTGGTTGCGCAAGGACTGGAGTGGAAGAGAGGATTCCCTAAATTTCTGAAGGAGCAAGGAACAGAAGTGGCTTGTTACTACTTTGGTATTTAAACAGTGGTGGGGATTTCTTTCTATCTAGTGTAGTGGGTGATTTTAGTCATAAAACTGTGTTGTAGAACTTTTTGATCTTAGTAGGACCGAATCAACCCATTCCACCAGTCCAACACAACCATTGGTGGCGTCAGTGTTGCAGAGGCTTCCAGTTACAAGTAATGCTCAATTGGCTTTAGATACGAAAGAGAAGATTTAAGAGGAGCTGGCCAGAGAATGTGGGAAGGAGATTGGTTTGGAGAAAGTGACATTAGAAGGGTAAAAAATTGGGAAGTTTGATTAGCAAAAGTAAGGAGAGGGATGGAGGGGGAAGGTATTCGTCCCCTTGAGGCCTTTGCTGTGGACGAAGGGAGAAAAAGAGCGGTGGTCTTTCCATATTGGTTCCTTCCCGCATACCAACTCTGGGCAGTTCTCTCTCAACCAAGGGAGGAAGGAGAGGGGATTTTCCTCCTTTCTGAATAGTTCTGTTAGCAAAATGGCACCACTGAATCCAACCTGATGCCATTGCAGGGACATTTTAAGAATGATGCATAAAATATTTTTAACAGGGGTAGCCAAATCTTTGAAAATGTGAAATATGATCATGGTAACATACTGCTGATTTCCATTTCCAAAGAAAATGTTGGCGTAACTTGACTGTTAGCGAGAGAATTTGCCCTCTGCTGGTTTTTCTATATAAGTACTAGTCACGTCCCATTAATGGCTTTAGATCTGAAGTATGTAAAACCTTAATAGAACATCCAATTACAATGCACCAGTAATTCCCAGCATTTTATGTTTGTCATTCTGTAAATTATGTTGTGCTATGATCCCTAACCTTCCAATACTGGATTTATTGACAACTGTAAAAATATTTTTGCTGAGATGTTTGGAAGAGAATGGATTATCAAGCTCTGGCAAGTAGCAGAGCTGTCTAAACTGAATTTACGGACTCAAGCAACGTTCAAGAAAGGCCAGCAAACTTTGCTCAGAGTTAGGAGTCTTTTAGCTATTTTAGAAGCACAATACTGCTACTCATGAATGCAACAGCTTTTGTGGTGCCTCAGTTCTCCGTGGTCTCTGTGCATCATGTGTATGGGTTCTGTACCTGCATTGAGCCTGCTGTTGGATTGATTCTATAGCTAAGCTATAGAAGGTAAGGGGATGGTGGGAGGCCCTCCCCTTCCTGTTCCTGGCCCTGAAACTCACTGGGTGTTGGACTTGCAACACAACCTACCTCACAGGGTTGCTGTGAGGATAAAATGGAAAAGGAGATTTGTGTATGCTACTAGGACCCCTTGCAAGAGGGACAAAGTGGACACAAACACAATTGTAGAATAGAAGTTTTTCTAAGCAAAACTTCCACGCAATTGAATGTGGGCTGCTTCCTTGTTGTGTAAAGCCAAACCACACTTAATAGCATGGTCAGAGTTTTTTTCCAGCTCGTGCCTGTCAGTGAAGCGGTGGCAGCAACCTTCTTGCTGCCGCTGCTGTACGTAATGCATGCGAGGGTGTTCTTAGTCTGGCTGCAGCATGCTGGGAGTTGTCGGCCAACACATCTGGAGGGCAGCAAGTTGGGAAAGACGGGCACCTGCTGCTGCAGCCACAGGGGAAGTGCTGCTCTTGGGACCGAGGCCGGCCTCGGAACAGACCCGCAGTAACCCCTCTCCCTCTTTCCCTCTCTGCAGAGCTTCCACTGCCGCCCCCGCCCCCACCGGGCGAAGAGCTGGTTGCCCCCTCCAACAGTGCATTCCCTCCCCCTCCGCCTCCCTTTGAGGAGCTGTTCCCGCCGGCTCCAGAAGATGTCTTTCCTTCTCCTCCCCCTCCCCTGCTGGAGGAGGAGCCTGTGGCCCTGAGTGGGCTGCCAGCCCCCCAGGTGAGTCTTCCGCTTTGCATCGGCTCCTCGTTCCCTTTACGCTTTGGGGGTGTGGGCTCCGGCCGTGCCGCACTGGGGCAGCTGTCTGTGCAAGAAGCACGCAGAAGAACCCCGTGTGTGCATCTGTGCGGGTGCGTGCGTGTAAGGGGGGGCGTGCTGCCTCCTCAGACCTCTGCTCTTCAGTTCCATTGAAACTATGGGAAAGGTTTGCCCCGAGGAACCCAGAACTCTGCAAGTTGTCCAAATGAGGTGCCATTTGCGCAATAGGTTTTGGGAGCCCTGCTTTGGGCTGTGTTGCGTGCTTCTGCATGCTTCTGTTTCTCCCTGCCTTCTGGGAAGGAAGTGCGCTGTTGCCCGCTTGCCGGAGCAAGGGCTGTCCTCGTCTTCTGCCACAGCTCTGAGGGCTGCGATTTCATCAGGCACTGCCCACGTCCCTCAAACGCTTTTTGATAGCCTCGAGGACTAGCTGCTCTTTTTCTCTTCTGGAGAAAAGAAGCAGAAAATGTCTCTGGAAACAGAGTGGGGCAGCAGGCGGTCTCTCCGAGCTCAGCGTGCCCTTTGGCGATGTGAACTTTGGCCTTGGGGTTTCTCTTACTAAGCAGAACAGCCTCTTCCCTTGATGTGCAAGACAGCCGTTGGCTGGCGTGGTGGCTGCTAACCTTCGGACGGGCTTCACGACCTCTCTAACATGCGCCTTCCTTTCTCCTCTGTGGCGGAAGGGGCAGGCTCATGGAAAGATGAGCAGCATCGATTTGGAGATAGATTCTTTGTCCTCAATGCTGGATGACATGACGAAGAACGATCCCTTCAAAGCCCGGGTGAGCCGCTGTGCTGTGCAGGGTGGCCTTCCCAGCCCCTCCTTTGCATGGGGGGCATCGGCCTGTGCCTGATCTGGTCCGGGCCAGGCCCCTTCTCTTGATGTCCCCGCCGTCCCTTTGAGGGACGGGTGGAGCCTTCCAGGGTGGAGCCTTTCAGAAGGGCGGGCTTGCTCTGCGAGCACAACCGTGCAGTCCTGGGGGAGGTTCACCGCCTCAGTGAGAGCCTTTCCAAGTCCTGGGGTTTGGAGAAGAGGCTGGGATTGGTCCTGCTGTGTTTGCACGTATGAACCAGCCTGCACCCTTGTGGAAGGCAGGGGGCCATGCTGACTTCTCTGGCACGCTCTCCCACTCCAGAGCCGCTGGGCCTCTCTCCCTGCTTGTTGTGGCGTGTGCAGGACTTTTCCACACAGGGGTCCCAATATGTAGGCAAAGCCTCCCACAGGACTCCTAGGGGTTCCCCATGCTGAGGGTGGCCTGAATGGGAAGCAGCCCAGGTGCACTGGCCGCCTCTCACCTCTGCTTCCTGGCTTTACTCTTACAGATCTCTCCGGGATCCGTGGCTCCTGTGGGTGCAGCTTCTGGCTCTGCAAGTTCTCCAGAAGCCGTGGCCACACCTAGAGAGGCTCCAGCTCCAGTTTCCGCACCCCCCAGTGCTGCCTCCAACGCCAGCGGGAGCTGCGTGCCCAAGCCCCTGGGAGAAACTGCTCCTGCCCCTCCCCCGTGGGTCGCCTTGAAGCAGCGCAGAGACTTGCCCCCCACGCAGCTCCCGGGCCCACCACCTCCTGCTCCCGCTCCCGCTCCGCCAGCCTTGAGGTACATGCCTCCTCCCCTGGCCACCGGCCCCAAGTTCGTACCCAAGCCAGCTGCTGGGGCTCCTTCAAGCTTTCCAAGACAGGCTGCCTCGTCCCCTCTGCAGCCTCGCTTCCTGGCTTCCTCCGGGGCAGGTCCAGCCCAGAAGCCCCAGCCGCCGCCCCCCGCCTTCGCCTACGCGCAGCACCGGGAGAAGCCCCAAGTTCAGGAGAAACTGCACCCTGCTGGACAGCAGCCGCCTGCCCCACGAGACACGGTGAGGGGTCAGTCTGTGTGTGGACGGAGAAGTAAGGGAGCTGCACAATCACGTGCCGATTGTGCCGAAGGCAGCAAGGTTGACGGGAGGCTGTTCCCATCTTCTCTGGCTGCCATTTCAAAGTGGTGAAGGTGCCTGGGTAGGAAGTCTGGGTTTGGGGCTTGGGGCTTTTTAGAGAAAGGTGAGCTGTTCCTCTCTTGCTTCTCTTGTTATTAAAGGAGATGCCCAGCTGAACTATCTTTCATAACAAAGCCCATGTTGTGGAGCATGCGGCCAGCTGCAGGAGAGGATGGTGCTCCACTTATTTATTACATAGTTCTCCCTTCCCAAGGCTCTGAGCGATTTACAAGACATTAAAACCAACCATTGTTTTGTATTTCAACTAAGAGCAAGCATATTCAATACAACCAAGCTGAGATCTAATTCAGGAAGGTCTGTTGGAAGAGATAGGTCTTTAACTCCCTCTTAAAGGTAGCAGTCTGGAATATCTGAGGCATCTCTCCCAACATGCCATTCCATAGTTAAGGAGCAATCACCGAAAAAGTCCTCTGGGTAGTAGACATTAATCTTACTGAGGTAGGATTCAGGAGGTTACCCCCTGAGGAGCTTAACAGGCGAGGCAGAATGTGTGGGAAGCCTTCCTTGTACTTGTTGCCAGTATTGCAGAAAACAACTTTTAAAAACGAGAGATAAAATTGTGCATGTTGATACATCATCTTCCACACAACTGTTTGTAAGGGACATGGAGGAGACTTCATCCTTAAAAAGAGTTTCTTTTTTCCATCCAGCTGCCAATGTGGAAGGAGCTATTCAGAAACCACCCAGTTGCTTGGCTGTAGGATTCTAGGGTTCTAGAAAAGGGGGTGCAGGTGAGAACATGGGAGGAACCTGCTTGGGAGACAGGCTTCCCGTCACTCAGCAAGGGAGATGCCCCCATTAAATGGCCTTGAGTGCGTGCTCTGGTGTACATGGTGCTCGGGAGGTGGGTGGAGGACCGTACGTGTCTCAAGGACCCTGATTTGTTTGTCTAGCGCACCCCCATATCCTCTGCAAGCACCGGACCAGATCCTCCCAGAGGCAGCTCTGCTTTGACCATGAAGGAGGTGGAGGAGCTAGAGATGCTGACTCAGAAGTTCATGAAGGACATGGACCAACCCCACCATGCAGAAGCTTCCACTTTTGGTGTGTACGCACATGTGTTTGTAAAGGTGGTACGGGGAGGGCATGGGATTTCAGCACAAAGGTTCTGCTTGCATTTTTCTGCAACTGCTGCTCTGCCTTTTAGCTTGACCTGATAAGCACACATTTCATCAGGCATCTCTCCCTGTCGGGGGAGTTTCACAATTTCGTTGGACAGAAAGATGGCCAGCACCCCTGTTTTATGCACATAAAAGGTGGTGATTTATACACAATCAACTTCCTTCCTTCCTTCCTTCCTTCCTTCCTTCCTTCCTTCCTTCCTTCCTCTGCCACTGAAGAACTGTGTGGTCTGTGCAACAAGGCCCTGTCGCGGACCCAGCCAGCTGTCCGGGCCTTGGACAAGCTTTTCCACGTCGAATGTTTCACCTGCTTCAAGTGCGAGAGGCAGCTGCAGGGGCAGCAGTTCTACAATGTGGATGAGAAGCCCTTCTGCGAGGAATGCTATGCGGTGAGCCAAACATGGCTGGGGTGGCCACTCAGCCGTGATCTGGGGGTGCAGGCGAAGGCACGCGGCAGCCTGAGGGCAGGCTCAGAAACACCAGGCCTGTTTCTTTGTGCTCCATTTTCCAAACTGCTGTGTGATGTCTTGACAGAGGTGTAATGAGTTGGGTGCTTCCTGTTTTGGGTTGCCAACCAGCTGGTGTGTTTGCTGGTGCAGTCGGAACTTCACTCTCCTGGCCAGTTGCCTGGACAAAAAAGTTGGGTGTTTGCTGGTAGCTCACCTACTTCCCTATAACAACCTTTTTAAGAGGAGACCCTTCAGAGGTGCTCAATTACCAGAGGAAGTGGCCTTTCATTAAAAAAAAAAAAAACAGGAAAGAGGAAGGGGAAGGCATGTTTTTATTAGGTTTCATTTTTTAATGTTAGTTGTTTTTTTGTATTACATCTTTATAGTATTTCTCAACTCTTGTGGACCACCCAGGCAATGTCAGCTATTGGGCAGTCTAGAAATGCTAGTAGGACTGTAATTCCTCATGAGTTCACATGCACTTGGGTATTTGGGTGTTTTTCGAGTGTGTGTCCTTGGTGGGGACTTTCCACTCAAGCTTGAACTTTTGCCCACATGGGAAGCAGCTACACCCGCTTTGCTGTCTTCCCACTTGGTTTGTGTGTTCAGGTGTTACTGGATCCATCCAGTGTGGAGCTGAGCCACTCCAGCAGCCTCTCTGCTACAAAGGAGGCTTCTGAATTGGGCCTGATTAGCTTCCTTCCAGGAAAGCCACCAAAACCTGTCCTGAACTCTCCTATACTCTGTGCTAAGGCTGAATAACAATTCACTGCTGGGTAGGGGAAACATTTCCTGTGTAGGAGGAGGATTTTTGCTGAAATGGTGTATGTCAGGGATTGAAACGTGTGCCAGCATCATTCCTCTGCAGGGTGCATTACAGCCACTAAGGTCCGCTGAACTGCGGTCCTCTTGCCTGCAGGCCTCCCTGTTGACTATGAAGTGGCTCCAGTGCACTGATGGCAAAGGATGGCGATTGTACGCCCAAGGGATCTTGAACATGTGGTCCTGGGGGGGATTGTGCTCTGCACTGTTAGGGGATGGAAGCGGATTGCTGGAAGCACTTTCCGAATGAGTGCTTTCCAGTGCGTGCAGGCAGGCAGGGCTGGTGTGCACGTTACCTGATTGCCGTGCTAGTTTCCGGGTGACAAGCAGTGCGGCATGTTAAGTTGTGGGCTTGGAAAAGTGCCACGGCTCAGGTAGTGAGTTGCCCGATTTGTAGTCTTCTTCCTCCCTTTCCACTTTGGAAGGCTGATCGTCTTCTTAACTCCCCCCCCCACTTCCACCCTCTAGGGCACCCTGGAGAAGTGCTGCGTGTGCAAGCAGACCATCACAGACAGGATGCTGCGGGCCACAGGCAACTCTTACCACCCCCAGTGCTTCACGTGTGTCGTGTGCCACAGACCCCTCGAGGGAGCCTCCTTCATAGTGGACAAGGGTAACCAGCCGCACTGCGTGGATGACTATCACAGGTACCTCGCCCCTGACCTCGTGCACTGACAGGGCCGGGCAGCCCTCTGTCTCCTCCAGCCCGAGACTGAGCGCCCGGGCCCTCCATGCCCTGCCTTGTGTGCTTGCAGAAAATACGCCCCCCGCTGCTCCGTCTGTGCAGAGCCCATCATGCCAGAACCCGGGAAGGACGAGACGGTCCGTGTGGTGGCCCTGGAGAAGAACTTCCACATGAAGTGCTACAAGTGCGAGGTGAGTGGGCCCCCATCTTTTCAGGGCCCACAGTGCCCGCAGGTGCAGCCCCCCGGTCCGACCAATGACTTCCGCTTTCCCTCTCTTCTTGTCCCTGCGCAGGACTGTGGGAAGCCCCTCTCCATTGAAGCAGATGACAATGGCTGTTTCCCCCTGGATGGCCACGTGCTGTGCAGGAAGTGTCACACCATGCGGGTCAAAGCGGCAGCCTGAGGACCCCGGATCAGGAGATGCCCGTGGCGTGCCTGCCTCGCCAGTCCTCAAGCCCCTGCGCTCTGCCTGTGCTCCCTGCCCCCATTCCTCAAATCATGGTGCGTTTTTACCTAGAGAGCGCCTCTCTTTCTACCCGAGGGCTTCCCTGCTTTTTGGTTATTGTTGCCCCTTCTAAGACAGGGTCTTCCTTAACCCTTTGCTTACTCTGGCCACAGTATATTATTCTAGGTACTGTGGGAAGTGACTTGGAACCGTGTCTTTGTATAAACCCTGCAGTCGTCTTCTTCTCAGTAATAAAGTAATCCTTGAAAAAAGAAAAAGGCTGGAGTCTTCCAACCTGCCACTTCCTCTGTTCAGACTTGGGGCATGAAACTGCTGCCTGTAGTTTTACTTCCCTGGTATGACGGGGCAGAATCTTTGCAGCACGGGTTGGCGATGTGCATTACTCTCCCGGTGGTTCTTTTGTATTGGGCTCACTTGTCTTAATGCTTCTTCTTGCCAGTGAGAGAGCCTTTGGCTCTTGGATTAATGGACCAGTTTTCTGCTTCAGTTCTCCAGAGCTAAGGTGGTCCCAGTTTTTGTCCAGTATAAAGCTTTGGCCTAGGCACCTCTGCACAACAAACTCTCCAAAGGACTTCCTGTGTGTCGTAAGAGTTCGTTATTGGAACTGCAGTGTGATCAGAAATTACCCTAAATGGCTGTTGAGAGAGAAGGCGGTGGGTGCCTTCTGAGTCCCCGCGAAGACTGCTTCCACCGTTTTCTGAATGGTTGCTGCATGCAGCCAGAGCCCTGGAATTCCTTAGCATGGTCGACTGAGCAGAGCCTCCGTTCCTAATCTGCGCCGAGCAGGCGTTTTGGATATTGTCTTGTCCCAGCCACTGTTTTGCATCAATAAACTTTGTGAGTTTTTTCCATTGTAGCTTTTAGCCTTTCTGTGGGCTTTCAGAGTGCATGTGGTAGGGGTGGGGGGGAGCAGAATTAATTATGGCTGAACCCAGGAGTTTGTATTGTGCACTGGAGAGCTCAACACTGCCTAGAAGTAACTTGTCCATGTGCTAAATGTCCCCCTTCAAATACCAGTAAAGCGGCGTGTGGAACCTGCAGCCCTCAGCCTGATTTCAGGTGCATACGCCTCACACACTTTTGGCTGTGGCCCATTGGTGGCATGTGACCTGAGAGATCATACCCTGAAAATGTATTACTATTAACAATCACAAACACAGTAACATTTCTACCTGCACATCAGTCCAAAGGCTTCCTGGGCAGTTTACATATCAAAGTTACAATAATTAATTAATATGTATGTATGTATGTATTTATTTATTTATTTAAAACTTGTTCTTATGCCGCCCCCATCGCAACAAAGCCTCGGGGTGGCTCACAAGTAAAACAAAATATACAAATATAACAATTATACAACAAAAATATTAAAACCCGGTGCATCTCGGCTTAAAAGATTTAAAATCCTATAAATACCAATAAATTAACAAAGTAAGTTTTAAATAAAAAGGCTTTAGCCTGGCACCAAAAAATGACGATGGCACCAGGCGGACCTCTCTGGGGAGCGGATTCCGTAGATGGGGCGCCACTGCAGAGAAAGCCCTCCTCCAGGTACTCACCCTCCTAATATTCAGAGAGGGTTCCCGGAGAAGGGCATCTGTTGCTGATCTCAAGGGGCGGGAGGGAATAAATGGACACAAGCGTTCCTTTAGATACCCAGGTCCCAAGCCGTTGAGGGCTTTATAGGTCATAACCAACACCTTGAATTGGGCCCGGACTTTAATCGGGAGCCAGTGGAGCTGACGGAGAACTGGGGTTATATGAGAACAATGCCCAGTCCCTGTCAGCAGCCTGGCAGCTCTATTCTGCACCAGCTGAAGTATCCAGACTGTCTTCAAGGGTAGCTCCATGTAGAGCGCATTACAGAAATCTAATTGGGAAGTTACCAACGCATGTGTCACTGTTGCCAGGCAGTCGTTCTCCTGGAAGGGACGCAGGTGATGGATCAGCCGAAGCTGAAGGAAAGTGCTCCTTGCCACCGCCATCACCTGAGCTTCTAGAGACAGCTCAGGGTCGAGGAGCACTCCTAAGCTGCGAACCCTGTCCCTCAGAGGGAGTGCAACCCCATTTAGGACAAGGCCCAAGTCCCCCATTCTGAGAACCGAACCACCCACCAACAGGACCTCCGTCTTGTCTGGAGTGAGCTTCAGTTTATTGGCCCTCATCCAGCCCATTACCTCGGCCAGGTACCGGTTCAGCACAGCCACTGCCTCACCTGGATTGGTGGAAAACGAGAGGTAGAGCTGGGTATCATCAGCGTACTGATGATTCCGCAGCCCATACCTCCTGATGACCTCTCCCAGCGGTGTCATGTAGATGTTGAATAGCAAGGGGGACAAGATGGACCCCTGCGGAACTCCATGGCATAGCAGCCATGGCGCAGAGCCATAGTCCCCCAGCACCACCTTCTGAAATCGGCCATTGAGGTAGGAGCGGAACCACCGCCACACGGTGCCTCCAACTCCCAATCCCACTAGCCTATTCAGAAGGATACCATGGTCGATGGTATCAAGAGCCGCTGAGAAGTCCAGGAGAACTAACAGGGACGCACTCCCCGTCTCTCTCCCTGAATAGGTCATCGTACAGGGCGACCAAGGCAGATTCAGTGCCATACCCGGGTCTGAAGCCGGACTGAAATGGGTCCAGATAATCAGTTTCATCCAAGAGTGCTTGGAGTTGTCCCGCCACCACCTACTCTAGCACCTTGCCCAGGAACGGGATGTTGGCCACCGGTCCATAATTGGCAGCCACCTCTATAATTGGCAGCCACCTCCAGGAATGCCATCTCATAATGCAATTACAATACAATAATAAAAATAATATAAAATTACAGTAATGATAAAATTACAGCAATACAATTAATGCATACAATAAAACAATAATGCAATCAGCCACCACAGCTAAAACAATTTCAGAGGTACAGTAAATTATAGTAAATGATGAAGATAAAATTGAACTATTACAATATTGGGAGAATAAAAAAGTTTTCACTTGGCATCAAAGGGAGCAAGGAGTGGGCCCCAGGTGCACCTTTTTGGGAAGCTGATTCCACAGATGGGGTGCCACAGTCAAGAAGGCCCTTCCCCTAGTAGCCACCCCTCTTGTTTCCTTTGGAGGGGGCTCTCTGAGAAGGACCTCTGCTGATTTCTTGGTTTGGGTAGACACATACAGAAGGAGGCATTCCTTCAGATAACCTTCAGATAATCTGGCCCCAAACTGCCATAGCGCACCATAATCCCCAACATTACTTTCTGGAATCAGCTGGTGAGGTAGGAGCAGAATCACTTCAAAGTAGTACCTCCTACTCTTAATCCAACCAGCCTATCCAGAAGGATACCATGGTTGATGGTATCGAAAGCTGCTGAGAGGTCCAGGAGAACCAACAGGGACACCCTCCCCCTGCCTCTTTCCCAGCAAAGGTCATCTCACAGGGTGACCAAGGCAGTTTCCATTCCAAAGCCAGGCCTGAACCCAACTGAATTGTAGCCATCAATAGTGTGCATGCATGAGAGACACTGAGCGAGAGAGGAGGTTCCCAGAATTAGAGGCATCATTCTGATGAGAGAACAGAGCTACCTTTTAGATTTCTCCTCTCATTCGTCTTGGCAAATGTTCTCCATGGTATTTCCTGCCTAAACCTTTTTGATCTTCAAAAGAAGATGCTATTGTGTGAACCACAACTCTGACAAAATCTTTTTAACCTGTCAGAACCTCAAATATGTTTTGGGATTGGGAGTTCGATGTGCTTCTTTCTGTCTTGCTTCATTGTTATACACTAGTCTTTGGGCAAATCATTCTGCGTCTTCAAAAGCATGTGACAAATTTTGGTTCCTGACTGCTGTCAGGGAAGTGTTCCAGCCCTCTGCAACGCGGCAATTTAGAAAAGCAGAGTAATTGCTGTGATGCACGCACAGAGCCCTAATCTCTCAGTGCTGCCTCTTCTGCTTGAGGAGGAAACAAGTCCAGTGGGACTGGTGAAAGTTCAGCTGCGTGAGCACAGGCTGGAGCAAACATGGGCTTGACTCAACGCAAGAACGAAAATGTCAGCAAGGATATTCTTTTACTTTGCTTTTTCAAAGAAGGCTCATTGAAGATGCATCATCCAAAAATGAAGAGCTGGCTTGGTATTACTATTCATCTGTTTCTACCCACTCATTTGAAGCGTCTCCCAGTTCTGGTGTATCACTTAGATGTGTACTAGAAAACATTCTTGCAATTTCTGTGGGTGGGGGCTATACAATTTGTAGCTTACTCAGCCAAAGGCGTCCCCCACTCCACCAGTGGATGGTGGCCTCCAGTGGGCTTGTTTTTAAAGATGTCTGTCTGGAACTGGGAATAGGAGGGGATGCCCATGTGCTACCCAAAGCAAGGAATAATAGAGGGGCTGGCATGCTGCTCTTGGCTTGATGGGATCCTGTGGCAGTCCAAAGGCACTTCTGCTGGGGTGAACAAGGAGCAGTTTCCAGTGCTCATTTGTCTGAGAGCTGATACGGGAGCATTAACTGTTCATCGTGTGGAAGAAGAGCTCTCCCTGCCAGTAACAGGTAGTATTATGTGCGGTTCAGACTGTGTGGATACTTTTCAGTGGTGAAAGTGCAGAAGATCCCTTGAAGTGGTATTGGGTGCAGAGCTCAGCTCCTTGAGAACAAAGCTCAGTTAAAAATAAAGTTGTTGGCATTCTTGAAACTGAAGGTAGATTACTACCATTCTGAGTAATGCCTGGTGAAATTTCGGAAACCAGAGCGGAACTGAAAGCTAGATCCAGCAATCTGTAAGAAAAGTAAGAATGTTTGGAGTTCTGCCATATCCGTTCTGCCCTTCGTTTGTAGCATAGCACGTGGCCAGTATGCTTGCAGAGGGTTACACACATTCACTGAAAGTACATAGTGCAATTCATCTTTCTCTGATACTGGCCTTAGACGCAAGAAGTTGCAACTGTTAAAAAGGATTTTCCCCCTTCTACAGTTTCATTTCTCACTTTCTGTCCTGGATATATTGTGAATAGCCAAGGTCCACAACAGAGGAATCTTGCAAATCTTTGCTGAGCTTTTAACCTGTTTGTTCAAGGGAGGTACAACTCCATTCAACACCCTTCTTCCTACTTTTCTGATGCATAATTTTTGGAGATGAAGTTGTTGATCAAGTTAGTGGTATCACACCAGTTCTGTGCTTCCACTTAAGGCTGCTGCCTGAAACAGTTGTGTAGGTGTGAGAGAGTTCTGCCCACTTGCCACACTGTTCCTAAGTCTCTTTGACTCACATCACCAGTTTTACAGCTTTGCTTTGAGAAGGATCTTTTTCTGTCATGCTGTTACCTTTCCTGAATCTAGAGTCCTTCAGCTTGGAGAACACTGAAGGTTACAAAGGAAACTATCCAGCCCCTTCAGAGAAATTAAGCTTGGAGGAATGAATTTTCCCCTCTGAAGGACTAATTTCACATGTTGGAGGGTGGGAAGGTGGCTACCAGCAAAGCTAGTAGAGTGCATCCAGAAATCCATAAGGCCAAAGTTTAGCAGTGAGACATTAGTCTCTGGTGTGATTACTGTGCACATATTCCTGGAAGGTTTTCTGGGGCTCATTGTACCTGTAAACTTTCTGTTGAGGTCCTCCTTGTAGGTTTGGCCATGAAGGTTATGCAAATAGTGAACTTGTATGAGAATACCAAAGTGTTTATATTACATTTTAATAATTAAAGGGTCACCTTAAATGATTTGGTAAGTCTGATCCACCTATCTGCTTCCCCCTTAGAATTGAGGTCCTAGTCCAGCCTTCTTCAACATGATGTCCACCAGATTTGGGACAATAACTTCCATTTTCACTGATCGTTGTCCATTCTAGAGCTGATGGGAGTTGTAATTCAGATCATCTAGCAGGAACCATGTGAGGAAATCTGCCCTAGAATTTAAGATGTAGAGATGTACAGAGTTTGGCTTTGTTTCGTAAGTTCTGTTGAAGGCTATTTCTGTCTTTCCTTCTGTACTTTGAAGTCACCTAACAGAGCAACAGCCTGAGCTGTGTTTCAGTTTCTTGCTTGCCACTGGTTGCCCCGTCTACATGCTACTGGCAGAGATGAAATGCTGGCCTTCCTAGAGTGGTTTGCAGTCATGGATACTTACCTGGGAGTAAATGTACTCTGAATGCATATGTAGAGGAGGCGGCTCAAAAGCCCTTTATATTCTTAAATTCCTCTTCCCTCACCCAGCATTTACTGGTGCCTTGCATATAAATGGATCTGTGCTTTTATTTGAGTTCCTTTTAACAGTTCTTCTTTCCCTACAGCTATTGTGTGATGTCAGCGGAGTTGCTCATAGTTTGTTACTCCTCTATAACCTTGCCCAGAACAGTCAATGTCCCTGCTTTACTCCTGGGCTTTGTATTTCTGTACTTTGGCAAACTTTAGACTCTGTTCAAATAATTTTCCTGCCACCTAGCTTCCCAGAATTGATGAGGAAGAGGTACCAAAAACCTCGCTGTGGTTTGGTTCATGATGTGATGGCAATAAGCCATGATAGGATTACTGTTGTGAGAATAGCTCACGGGTCACCCAACAAAAGATCTGACTTTTCTGGAGCTTCTCAGCTTGCTAGGCAGCCTTCCAGGGGAATTTGCAGCTAGAGCCACTCTCCTGCCCAGCTCCCCTCCCTTCCCGACACCCGGCAGAACACCTTTTACATTCTTGGTTTTGGTAGCTGCTGACAGGCCCTCCAGAGTGCCCAACCAACACACTGAAGGGTCCGTCAGTGGTTTGCCTCGTCTTTTGTCTGTTTGCCCTGCAAATGGTTGCACAAATAGTTTATTGTTTTTAATATTGAGATTCTGGAAATGCAGGTTTTGGGTATTTTTGTGGATGCAAAAATGGGATGCTAGAATGCTCTAGAATGTAAGAAGTAGGGATGTACAGATTTCGTCTGTGTTTTGCAGGCAACTTGGGTGCCTTTCATTTCTTCATCCCATTGTTACCATAATATTTCGTCCAGGTTTGCCTGTAAGTACTTGGGAGTACAGCCTTGATTTTGAAAGCTATTTCTTAATTTTTCAAGCTTACCCCCCACCCCACTTTTTAAGGGGAGTAATACAGGGAGTAATATATGCAGCCCCCCAACACACACATGTTAAAAGGATGCTAGTCCTGCACAGTTTCCATGGAAACCAATAGGGAAGCGACATCTACAAGCTGTTGATAAATGGGAGCAAAAATTCAAAATTTGATCTCCGTGCCATGAGTTTATTTACAAAATCATACATACAACGCATGATAATTCCAGGCCTGGGTTTCCCCCTACACCCTTTCCTGATACTTTAAATATATAGGCAAGGTCCTCAACTTGAGGAAGCAAAGCTTCCAGCAGCAAGTGATGCCCTGCTGTAAACAAGCCATTTCTACTTCTGACACGAGACTCCAGGAGAGAAAAGATACATACAAAAGAACTAGGGTCGGGGCAGTACCAATGGGGTCGAACCTGCTGTGTGACGACGACAACAGGTGTGCGCTATGGGGACAGAAGGTCTTGGCCCCCATGAACTGTGCAAGCAACAAGAGGGCCCAGGATTTTGCATTAGAAGGGGACCCCCATAGCTGGATATGGCTTTACTGCTAGAATGTCTTCAATCACTGCTTAAAATCGCAAGCACACATTGCTTCCTTGGCAGCTGTGACATGAGACAGGCACAGTGAAAACACAGTAGTGGAGAGGAGGCAGAGAGCCTAGAAGATGCAGGAAACGGAAGAGCCAGGAGCCTGCTTTTGGAAGCGCTCACCACTCATCTGGCTTCATATCTGCAGGGAGCCCCTTGGAGTGTCGCTTCCTGCCCTGGGTAGCTCAAATCCCAGCCTGTGTGCCTTGGGGCCCAGTGAACACGTCACTGCAGCAAAGGCTGGCTGTAGGCTCTGCCACTAGACGTTGGCTGTCCGGGCTGCTGTGAGCATGGACAATGGCAGTATCCCGTCCCGTGGTCCTCTTTTGCCTCTCTCGATGCCGTTGGGCTCAGTGCTGAGCCTTCTCTGAGGCGTGGAGCCTAGCGGCCAGCTTGGTGGGGTGAGACCATCACTCCTTGAAGCCCTGGATGCTGCACAGAATCCGCTTCTGGTGGCCAGGAAGAGTCACTCCCATTTGCTTCAAGTCCCTTGAAGGAAGCAGAAGGGCAGGAAACATTAGCAGCCAGCAGACGTGGAGGGACAACTGCTACTCACACAGTAGAGGGGATTCCACAGAGCTGTGGAGTCCCAGAAAGTACTTCTTTTTTCCAGAGTGAAAAGTATGCGTGGGCAGATAACAAGAAGTTGCTCTCCAAAGTCAATTCCTGCAAACTCAACAGGCCGAGGAATGGCACTGACCTAGAAATAACCACTTTTGTGTGCTGTCTCACAAGGCGGCGTTTACACACTCAGTGCAGGTGGAGGCAGCAGTTGAAGGTGTTACGACAGATCCAAAAATTAACTGTTAATTGCTAATTCAGCTGGGGAGGGGTGGGCTTTTAGGAGTGAAACTTTCTAAAATTAAAAATGATTGAACCAGTAAAAGTGTTGGTCTATTAGGGCATAATTATGGTATACAATCTACAAAGCAAACCGAACACGTTTGAAAACAGTATATTTCTTTGAAGAGTCATGGCTGCTGTCACCAGCACCCTCTGGCCATCGGTCTGCACACCAACAGACTGATGATGATTTCTTGGGTATATGTGATTATTTTCATGTACATCTGTTAAATGTTACGTTCTCCCCCCCACCCCTATAATTTGGGGTGTAATCTTACGTGTGTTTCTCAGGGATGATGTTCCACGGAAATGGGGACAGGATATGCATATGGCATGCCTTGAAATCACACATTCTCTGCACTCTTTGTCACCAGTCCTTTCTCTGGTTCTCCGCCTGAACTTTTGCTTAACACCCAGAAAATGGGCAGGTGAAACATTCCCTCATTGCTTATGTCCCTGCCAGGAAAGTGCTTCTACCTGCTGAAGATCTGCATTTCATCCCACTGTCCCGGAACAAAAGTGGTGATCCTAGGAACAGCTGAAATTTAGCTTTGCAGGGTGATGGCCAGTACCAGGATCAAATAGCTGGGGAGCTATGTGAGCTGTTGTCTCACATGGTGCGAGAGGTGCCAGTTTTGCAGCTAAGATGGTAGCTAAAATCCCTTTGCCAGTCCTGTCTGCAGAAAGTTCTCCACAGCAGTTGTAAAACCTCTGCTTGCATTTATCTGCAGTTCCCGCTTCCCTGGCAGAACCCCAAGCCCACAATCCCAAACTTACTCAGCAGAGAGTTCCAGGACAGACTCCATGGTGTTCAGGCCGGCAGTGCGGAAGTTGATGATGTAGCGTTTCATACGGATGGATTCCAGCCACTCAGGAATTGACCGATAAGGAATCCCATCAGACCCACTGCAGCTGGGGAGACGAAGTGTCACCCTATAGATAAGACAGACAGGTGTTTTCAGAACAAATGTGGCATTTAACATTGCAGAATATGAGGTGACCTGGATCCCCTTCCATCAGACTAAAAAGAAATACCTGCTCTTGTGCGGAGCTTATGGCACCCTGAATTCACTGATAATGTCCTGGGCTGGAATGGGGGAACTGAGGCGTCATTTTCTTCATAGAACCCAGTTCGGCTTAGACACTGTTCTTACCCATGACATTGTCACAAATGCTTTCTTTTGTACGTGATTTAGAAAAGGCACCAAAAGGAGGGTTGACTAGGACATGGTACAATTCTGCAGCTGTGCGTGCAAAGCACAAAAGGGGTACTTTGTATGGAATTCTTCTTGCACACATCATTTTTTACAGGCTACAGAATTCAGTTTTTCCTGGTAGAAATGTTTGTTATGTTTTAGTACAGAATGTCCTCAGCTTTGATCATCCTGTTTCACTTACCTGGGGTCAAAATCAGCCACAGTTCGAAGCAAATGTGGACTAGAGATGAAGTGTTCTAGCTGAACGTGGATTTCCCGGAAACGTGGCCTCCGTGTCCGATCATATGACCAACACACTTTCATGAGCTCATAAAGGATGGATGGGCAGTCAACAGGTGGAGGGAGCCGGTATCCATCCTCTATGCACTTCATCACCTGTCCAAATATAAGGAGAGAGACCTCTGAACCCAGGCCAACATTCTACAGAACAATTTGAGGCTGGAGTTCCTGACACGGCCACTTTCTCGGGAGTGTCAAGTTCAAATGTTGAGAATGTTTTGGAGCTGGGACTGCAGTATTCTGGGCACAACCCTGTCACCCCTGCCCACAATGCAGAGAGCCCCATGAACTCAGAGGCTCATGTGCTTCCTGCGCCCCAAACAAGGTGTGGTGGTTGTGTTCTTGGGCCCGGCTGTGCTTCACACCTTGGTTTGTCTGTCTCTAGCTGGCCACTTCTGGCCACCTGGATCAAGCGCCAGGAAGGGTGAGGGAAGGAAGCTGGAGCCCCAGACAGAATCAAAGCAAGCTATTGGCCTCATCTTTGCCCCCGCATGCCCGTTTGTGTCCTCTCCTTGCTGGCTGTGGGGCCCAGCAGTGGCTCAGCTTTCAGGGTCCCACCTCCAAGTTCACAGAATCTTGAGGCTGGAATTCCAAATAATTCTGTGATACTCCAGAAAACAGGAAGCCAAAAGACTGCATCCTTAGCTAATGAATCCATTCAAAACCTTTCATCACCTAATGATTTTGATTAGGTGACTGAATGATCACCGGGTTGTTGAAAAGTTTGTTACAGTTTGATAAAAGAATTTGGAAAAACGGCAGCTGACAAATGATAACACAGAAAGATATCACCTCCTGTATCTGAGAGGTTAGAATGCCTGTTATGATGCTGTTCACATATGCACGAGTCATTTAAAAACAGACTGCATTTTTCTTTAACACCATTGCAATGGATCCTGCAAAAGTTGCTTGTGGCCAGAAATGCTCCTTCCACCCACTGGAAGCTGCTTTTACCACCAGCTGAACAGAGGAGGGGGCGATCTTGCTGTCGCCCTCCTTGAGCAGTTCTCAAAGTCCCACAAAAATGCACTTTGGAGGGATTGGAGACCCTCCAACACCACAGGGGAAATGCTGCTGGGACATGCAGAGGGAGGGGAAACTGGCAAAAGCCACTTTCCCATCTTTCCAAGCAGAACTTCATGCCTGTGAAACAAAAAGTTCGGATCCAGCACAGTGTTTCTGATCCTGTGAGGATTTATGCCAGTTTAGAAATCAAGTAAGTGCATTCATGAATCATGGGTGAGGCTTCCTTCAATGGGACTATCTGCTGCGGAAACCATGGTCTGGAAGAGGTGGTATCTTGGGCTACAGGAAAGCCTAAAGCGCACGTTCTTATCATGCTCCCGGTCTGCTTGTTGGGGGGACCACCTGTGTTTTCTTCACTCGCTTACCTCCTGATTGGTCATCTCCCCATAAGGCTTGTCGCCATATGACAGTACTTCCCACATGACAATGCCAAAACTCCAGACATCACTGGCAGAGGTAAAGATTCGGTGGGCGATGGCTTCAGGAGCTGTCCATCGGATGGGAATCTTGCCACCCTGTTGAAGAAAGTTTGCAACTCAAATGGGAACAACAGGGACGGACTGCAAGGTCCTCTACCCTTTGCTGCAGGAGTGGGCAGAGGCGAGCTCTCCAGATGTTTGGAAGTTCAACTGTCCGCACAGCCAGTGGGCAGGAAGGGTGAGAGTTGAAGTCCAAAACACCTGGAGCAAAGCAGGGGCAGGCAGAAAACAGATCAGAGGAAGTGTGGCTTCTCCCTTTAAATGTACTTCTGTTTTCTTTCAAGTTTTCAGGTAGAGCCCATCGTAGCTAAGAATAAAACAACTATGCAAGCAATAACCACTCAAACAATAAGCATGGTAACCAAGAACACAGCAGAAGAAATACGCATCTGTCTAAAATATTCACCAACAGCAGCAACTTTAAAGCATTTTACAAGTAAAGTACAAGGTAGCATAAATAAGGTTGCTGTTGTTGTTGTTAGTCGTGAAGTCGTGTCTGACCCATCACGACCCCATGGACAACATTCCTCCAGGCATAAATAAGGTAGATCAACTTAATTGGTCCAATGCCTGTTTCAATAAAAGGGCTTCCCTCCTTATTGCTATCTAATATTTATATTCACCCCTGAATACTGGTGGAGCTCTGTGGTCTAGAGAAGTGAATCACTACTAAAAGTGGGCCTGAGCTACTGCTCATTTGAGTACAAGGCAGTCCGCAGGTTACGAACACCACCTTTTCCTGAGAAAATGGAAATTCATCTTGTATGTAAATGGGATCACAAACAACCGGTCCTCCACATTTGCGGGGGTTGGGGGTGCAGGACCCCTGTGAAAGTGGAAAAGAGCAAATATCTCCAATTCACCAGTGTCCCCTCTTTGCAAGAAGAAAATACCGGAGAGGTTCTCCTCTCCAGATGGGCAGAGCAAGGCCTGCTCTGGAGATCTCCCTCTCTCACCTTTCGCTTCCTCTCTCCCTATGGTGATGCTTTGGAGGCCTCCCTCGCTCCCCTTTCACTTCCTCCCTCTCTATGGCAATGACGATTTCCTGCAGCAATTTTTTTTTTAAAAGTAATAGGCTTTATGGTGGTTTGTTCCTAAGTACGGGGTGTTCCTAACTCAGGGACTGCCTGCACTGGCACAGGTGGATGGCAGGTCTGAGTGTAAGGACTTATGAAAAGGTTTGCAGCATGGTGTGCATCTTCTGCTGTAATTTCCATGAAGAAGAATCTAGGTTGATAGGGGCAATGGACCAGCCTCTCACGGGGCCTTCCTTCATGCTAAGAAACCACTCGCCTGTATCTTTACTGCCTGGAAAGTTGTCACTGAGGTGGAAGCCACCGAGGCATTTTGCCACATTGCATCCACAATCTAAAGGTTTGTGGCTTTTTCATTTTCCCTGCTGTAAGTTAATGCCAGCAATTTTCCCTTTCTCAATTTTTAAGCACGTTTTCACCTTACCTTTGTTTCGTAAGTTCCTTCCACGTCGTTTTCTAAGATCCGAGAAAGGCCAAAATCAGACACCTTGCACTGAAGGTTATGAGACACCAGAATGTTGCGCGCAGCCAAATCCCGGTGTACGTAGTTGCGGTCTGACAGATAGGTCATCCCTGCGGCAATGCCCTGCATCATGGTCACCAGCTGCACGCAACTGAACTTGTCCATGTTCTCCTGAAAAGCACCCATGATGAGAAGATGAGCCTTCTCGTTGTGCTTGCCTGCTTGCTCAGGAAGGAGCCTGAAATTACTGTGGCATGAAATGGCAGCGGCAAGAGGAGAGAAACCTCCATTTGCAGCCAGGAACTGCGCACTTTGCTGATCGGTATGAACTTTCAGAGCTCAGCTATTGCGTTTAAGGGAGGGCTGTAGAACTTGTCATCAACCAAAACAAATTTGCTGGGTCATCAGCCACAGATGGTGGCTTGCCAGATACTTCCACTCTCTTATTTTAACAGTTCCAGACAGATGACAAAACCTGGAGCTTTATGGTGCTCCTGATGGACCCTTGTAGTTGGCTGAGGGGCTACATTCGGCCTGGTGATGAGGGTGTGCAAGAACTTCAGTCCTAAAGCTGCCTTTTCCCTTTAAAAAGCTAGCCTTTCAACAAAAGAGCTCCCAAAGCAGGAAACGTTAAAGCATCAAATTAATAAAGAAAATGAACAAAACAGGAAAAGTAGGACGAATAAAGAAAATCAAGCCGAACTATTGATAGTTCATCTGAGTAGCAAACTTGCCATCATATTAGAATCTTGAATTATTTTACCTCTAACTAAATATTTCAAAATTATTTCTAGTCCCCTTTGAAGAGTGAAAGCTTCTGAAGGTGGCATCCATGGTAAAAGCCGCAGAAAGCGATTCCAATTTTTAAATAGCCATGAGAAGGGGCTTCAATAAAATCCATAAAAAACAAGACTGCATAAAAATTAACAATGTGGGCATTGGCTGAAGACCCATTCGAGAAACGGCCCTACCTCCAGGTAATATGCTCTCCGCTCTCAGGAGGCAGGGGCAAGCAGTGAGGTGGCCATTAATGAAGTTCCCGAAAGGGCAGTCCGGTTCATATGGGGAAGCAGGTGCTCTTTCAGCTATCTGAGTCCAAGCCATAAAGCGCTCCATCTTGGTGGAGTTAGCAAAAAAGGACAGTTTCTGTCCTTTACCTAGACCTAGTATTTACAGAGGTGGTAACCCATATCTGCACCTGACTCACCAGAGTAAAGTTGACTGGGTTTGACAGGGGGTTTGAGCAAGATGATTAAATGATGGTCCATACAAAAAACAACACTGTGCAATAGTATCATAGAATAGTATGGCTGGAAGGGGTCAGAGGGTCCAACCCTTGCTCAGTGCAGGACTCCAAGTTAAACCAGCGCTCTCAGATGGCTGTCCAGCTGCTCTTGAATGCCTCTAGTGTGGGAGAGCCCACACCCTCCCTAGGTCATTGGTTCCATTGCCATACTGTTCCAACAGGCAAGCATCTTTTTCTTGATACTCAGCTAGAATTTGGCTTCCAGTAACAACAGGTTATTAACTGACTGGGAGCCAGGTTCTAGCCTGGCCTTCTCTCTCACCTGCTCATATTAGACATGGGGTGATTTTGTGCATATGTGAAAAAAGGGAATATTTAGAGCAGTCTGAAGAGATACGTATGCAGCCCACACACAAGTTTAGCACCTCAGTGAGATCTAGGCCTAAATGGATGACACATGCCTGAACCAAACTGAGGTCCAGTCACTTACTCGCAAGAAGGTGTCCAGTGCCCCATTTTCCATGTATTCTGTAATAATCATCATTGGGTTTCCTGGATGAAAAAGGAAAATGACCATTGCTGTTAACTTGCAGCTTTAAATTGTCCCCACTTAATTACCCTTCAGTTTGTCAGCGCCCCCCTGGTTTTATCCCAGTCCAAATACAATGATCATTTCCCCCTTCTGAGTATATGAAGAGGCAATATCTGAGACAATATGCCTTTGGCCCACCTAGCCCAGTACTTTGTTCACTCTGGCTAGCAGCGGTTCCCTGGGGCCATGATGCAAGGCAATCCTGCAAGTGGAAACCTGGTCCCTTTGGCATGCAAGGCCAGTGTTTGCCCAACCCTAAACTAGGGCAACTTCACAACCACTGGCCTCACATTCACTGGAGCTTCTCTGCAGTACGGTCTGCTGCCATCCACTGCCACCATCGCCACGGATGACGGCCCCCTCACATCACCAGCACTGTGCTCTTACGTTTGGTGACAACTCCCTCTAAGCGGACAATGTTGTGGTGATTGAACTGGCCCATGATGGTTGCCTCACGCAGGAAATTCCACCATGTTGAATCTGAGTAGGTTGACTTCAAGGTCTTGATGGCTACAACAAGGCGTTCCTTCCCTGGCAAGCGCAGAGTCCCACGATAGACCTCTCCGAACTCTCCTGTGGAACGTCCAAAAGAAAGATGGCGGATATAGGAATGTGTGGAAATGGGATCTCCTGAGCACAATAGCAAAGCAGCACCTAATGACACTCACCTTCACCAATAACAGTCTCAATGGTGACAAGAGAGGGGTCCAGCTCCTTCGTGAATTCTAAGACTCCCCTGCTGGGATCCTCATAGGGCTGAAGGTCCACATAAGGTTTCAACCAGATCTCATCTGTAAGGAGAGTTTTCATTATGAATGATTTCTCCACAGAGTCTGAGGGGAGGAAAATGTTTGTTGGCACAAGAAGAGATGGGCTTTGCATGACACATGCCTATTTCTAACAGACTGACAGTCCCCCCTAGAGCACTTGGTTCAGATGGTGCCCTGCTGGGCAACTTAAACTAGCTGTGCCTCACCTTTCTCCCCTCCAAAATGTGACCCAAATCTTAGTTCCTTTTCTTGACTGGTTCCAGCCATCTAAGGCTTTTGAGACCTACGTTACAGTCATTAAGAAGGGAGCCCAGCCACTGGGTCGTTTTCTGATCAGCTGGGTGGATCACTGACATCGGAAACGGAGGCTATCACATTACTGGACAGACCAACCATCTGTCTCTGGTGTTTACTAGGCAAAAAGTCCCATAAGAAAGACTCAGTTATACTAGAGCATTCCATATGGCCCCTAACTGGACACCAGATGCTCCCTTACAAACATTTCCATCCTCTCTGCAAAAACTTGGCTTTATCCTCTGAGACCAAAGACTTAAGTAGATAATGTGACTGGATAGTTACTGGATTCTTGATTTTATGTAGAATGTTGTGATTGCTGCCTTCCTTCGGTTTTTCCCCTTGTTTCTTTTCCACTGCCCTTGTAAAAATTTGGATATTTGGCTGTGTGGTTTGGAAAGGGAATTCTCACTAAACCCTTTCCCACATGAATGGTTACAAAGCTACTGCTTATGTTTTAAGTCTTTTTAAAGGGTCTGGTAAGTTCTGTTTCTGGGCTTTGGGAAGCAAAGGCCAAAGACTGGGGTACCCCCCCCCAAATGGGGGGGGGTCCTTGGCAATAGGGCTGAAGAACTCTGCAGGCAGCTGGCCAGACTAGGGTGTCTCAGGAGGGACCTTGTGACTGGTGCCAAGTGTCAGAAATTCCTTTCCAGGGAAACCCCAGTGTAGAAGGTCTTTACTCCAAGGAAACATAGAAACAGAGAAAGTCAGAAGGGGCCTCCCAGGCCACCTAGTCTGACCCCTGGCTCCAGCCAGCTCCACTCATGACATGCCTTCCACGTGCATGCCCAGCCTATCCTTGTACATCCTTATCAATGGGGCTTCACCCACCTCCCATGGAAGCCCATTCCATAGCCTCGGGGTCCTAACTGTCAGGAAGTACTCCCTGGCATCCAAACTGAACCTTGGTTCCTTGAGCTTGGCTCCACTGGAATGTGTCCCGCCCTCCTCTGCAGGGGAGAATGGGTCTCTACCCATCTCCGTGTGGCACCGCCTCACGTACCCAGGCTCTTCCTTCTCCCTGTCTCATGACACCCACACAGCCCAGTCCTCAACATAAGACTGGAAGATCTCATGGAGGTAAATAGAACCTGCCCTAAAACAGGCCTGGAGGGGGACTGGGCCAGAGGCAGCAGGCAGAGCAGGACACTGCTGCAGGCAGCGCTTTCCTGAAGAAACGTGTGCAAGAACGGCTCTGCTCAGGGTCCAGTAATAGTTAAGCCCGTTTTGGCTTCCAGTGTTATGACTGCAAAAGCAATTGTGTGTGTGTGTGGGGGGGGGGGGGGCAGGAGGGTCAGCTGGCAAATACTTAGTGTTTTTAAAGCTGTGTTCAATTTTTATTACCATCACAATTACATTTATGTAAACGTATCTGACTATCTGCAGTTACCATCTTGCATGTTCACATTGAATTCGAATTCCTACCTCACTTGGTGTTCCCTAAAGAAAACTGCCCCCACCATGACAGAGTATTATTCATGACTGGCATATATCCCAGGCATTTCAACAGGTTTACCCCATTAAAGCCCAAAGGTGCAGTTTAGGCAGGAGGGAAAAAAAAAAAAAACCCAATCCTCCCGGCATTCTCCCCAAGTCGGCATGGGATTGCACTTCAGCTTTCAGGACCTAGATTCACTCCACCTCTGTGCCTGCCCTCCCCAGCCCCACTGCCACCATCAGCCTTGAAATGGATACAGTGCCCTTCTCAAACGTCCCCTATGGAGGAAAGGACCAAGTGATGCCACTTCAGAAGGGAAAAGCTGCTGGGGGAGGAGGCGGGGAAGTGTTGGAGCAGGAATGAAGGCATGGCAGGGGACAGGAGAGCTTGCTCCTCACGCCCACCACCCTCCCAGGTTTTCCCTCTGTCCACCTTCAAAGGCAAGGGACAAGAGAACACCAGTGGGGGAAGGTTAACTGTCTCCCCTCGCCCCTCCTAATCTCGCTCTCCCCACCACTGAGGTGGCTTTTGGTGCTCTTGGATGCCTGCCTGGTTCCTGGGCAGGCAACCGGCTGCTAAGGCCCCAGAAGTGCTCCAGCACTCCCTGGCTTTTCCCAGCCTTGGGCTCTCACCTCGGTCGTAGCTGGGCTGCTTGTGGCACGGTCGTGCTCGGTGATGCCGAGCTCTCCTGCAAGGGACAAGAACAAAAGTCAGTTGGAAAAGGATGCCGTGAGTCGGAGATGCAAGCACAGCCAATATCTGTGTCAAGAGAATTTTTTCGCACTGCCTCTAGTCCTGGGAACTGCCATCTCTACCTTCGCCGAAAAAGGAAGAGTCCCACAAGCAGACCAATAAACAGCAGGATTCCGAAGATAATTGAGACAATCACTCCTCCAGATGGTGCACCGGTGTCTGCAAGGACAAAGGACAGGTTATTGCCCTCATTCCCGGGGCGGAATGGCCCTATTTGTATGCCTCTGTGAAAGCCCATTTCTTTAATCTCTGGTGGGGCAGTGGGATGGCAACCAGCTGCCACAATGTTGCTTTTCACCCACCCACCCTGGATGCAGTGCAGAAGTGGTCCCCGCACACAGAACAGAACCCCAAGAACAAGGCACCCCCTGCACCTCTTTGGAGGACTCCGTGGGTTAGACTCAGTGTACAAAAGTTTTAATGGCATGTTCCACCCAACAGGCATTACTGCTAGCTCTAATATGGAAGGGGGGCACAGAACTACTTTGTAGCACGTGGTTTAGCCGGGGCTGGCATACATGTGTCCTGGGGGGCACAATCCTGATACACTAAGTGCTTTAATATACATATGAAGAGAGGGGACCCCAACCCTTTTGAGCAAATAGCGTGGGTGGTTTTTTCTTTTATTTTTCAGTCGGTTCTTGTTATTTTATCCATTCCTAGGGTTGGGTCCAAGTTTCACCCGGATCAACAGTGTTGGCAGAAGTGGCCTCCCTGTCCCCTCTTCCTGGCAGGCCCCTGGAAAATGTTGCAAGAGTCACTAGAACTTGCTGAATGGGATGAGTCAGGATGAGAAGGAGAGGTGGAATAGCCAAAACTTGGGGACCTTCCAGAAGCACAGCTCTTGCTGTCATGGGAGACAGGTTTTGGTGCCAGGTTCTGATCTATAAGGTCACCAGAAGGACAGCTGTGAAGTGTCCATCCAATGTATAAATGCTAAATTTCCCCCAAACGCTATCTTTAGTATTAGGATGGGCACAGAACTCTTGTAAGTGGGTGGTTTGGCCAAACCCCAATTACACTTTCAATGCTGAGTGGCATATTAGTAATTTTTCCAGTATATTTTTCATTCCCAAATTCCATTTTCATCACTTTTTAAAGAAACCACAGTTGGCTATTTCCTCTCTTCCTGCCTCTTAAAAGTCTTTGCTGATGTTATTTATCTTGCTGCATCAAGAACCAGATGGAGGGCAGAAAGACATCACACTGCATTTTATGTTATGACTGACTGTATCGTTTTAATCATGTTGTGAGCTGCCCAGAGAGCTTATGGATAATGGGGCAACATGCAAGTTAAACAAATAAATTTGTGCCTGACACAGACAGTTACACTAGTGTATCCCACAGGAAATGCATACAATGTGCAAAACAAGTGAGCAGCCCTAAACCTGCAGCCGGCAAGCATCAGAAAGCCACAGAACCCACTGGCTTGTGTCCCGAAATGTCCAGGGACCAGTACCTGCTCTTCACACTTGGTAGAACTTGATGTAGTATCGTGGTAGTTGCGCGCAACTTGACTGCTATCCAAGTGATGAAGCAGCTCACAGGCACCAACGGGAAGTCATTTGCATGACGTCTTTTGCAACACAGAACTTAAATCATTCATTGCTCCTTTCAGGCTCTGTATTTATTTAAGGGCATTTTGTATCAACACCCAGCAACCAAGTCCTCTGGGACAAAATCAGGCCATATTTTAGTAAGATCGTATTTTGGTTATGCCACTTTGAAAAGCGTTTGCTGCCATCCTGTTCTGTGCTTGCTTGCGAGGACACCGTGCATGCCACAACTGCATTTTAAGATTCTGGGTTTAACATTTGCTCCATTCAGCAGGCTCTGTTGCTATTATCCCCGGGGCATGAGAGGACGGCATATAAAAGTTTTAATTAATTAAATAAATAAATATTTCTTAGGAGCAGCAAACAGCAATATTGACTATTGTGGGAGGAAGGGGAGATGTCCAATGACTGTGATTGGATTTGTAGTTTCCCCACTGCTAGTAAGATGCCACGCCACTGGCACCATGGGTCTTCTCCGAATTGCCTTCTCGGTAGCTTGCCAGGACACAGGTGGGCAGCTTGATGGGCTCCTGGTTCTACTGGAGGCAAGAGGTTCTTTCTTTCCATGGTTAGAATTAGCAGCTTTGGGAAGAAGCGATTTTCACTGGGGAGACGGCATAAAGTTCAACCCCTTCCACCGTGACAAAATTCCAATCTGGATAGCTACTTGCATCGCGTTTGGTCCATTGGCAAATCCCTCTTCTATGTAACAGTGGGGAATTAAAGGCCTACCCTGTGGAAGAGTGCAGAATTCCTGCTCCTGGGAAAATGGTCCAGGTCCCAATGGAGTGATGGAGCGCACACGCAGCAGGTATGCCGTGTCAGGCTGCAGGTTTGTCAGGGTCACCTGGGGTTCCTGGAGGTGCTGCACAGTGTAGTGTTTCTCTTCTCCCTGTGGGAAGCAAACGACTGGGTTGTTTCCTAGGACTTGGGCAGCTCAGGAAAGGCAAGGAAAACATTTTATGGAGGGGATACAGTAGAAGAGTCTGTCTCGCCTTTTCAAAGTACATAACTTCATAGTTCACGGAGCTCTGGCTGCGATGCCGTGTAGGTAGCCAAGTCACAGAGAGGCTGGTATCATTCCGCCTATCCAGGACAAGATTGGTCACGATGACTGGGGCTGTGCAGAAAGAAAGAGGAGAGGGTCAGAGTGTCACATGCCCTTTGCAGGAGGCTGAGAAAGTAGCTAGATCATGTGTTCTCACATCATCGGTTGTGGACATCACTGCCTTTCGTGGCTCAGTGCAGGTAGCACCAGCCTATGACTTCCACAGAGAGAGGGCCCTTGCAGTAGAAAAGCAAGCTGATATATCTAGGATGTTTGGAGGGGCCAGAGTAGAGAAGAGACAGATCTTGCTTGCGGAGCAGTTTGTCGGCAAAGAAGACACTTCCATGTCTTTAGATTATTATTCCTTTGTTCATAATTTGCGTTCTTTGACTGACTGAACTGATACTCAATAGTTGCTCTTTGTTGCTTTCATTAGAAGTATTTTGTTTTAAATACCCCCTTCCCTCCAATTACTCATGAATTTCACTGGTTTCTACCTCAGAACTACCTAACGTCTCCCACAGAGCTTTTGCTATATGAAATGGGATAGCCTGATTTCCTGGAGGAAAGATGGGATCCAAGTGTAATAAAGATTTGAAGGTCTTGTTTATGGAGAGCTTGCAGGCAAGATGGCCTGTGGTGACAGTGGGGGGAAGGGTGGAGCTGCTGAAATCCAGATCATGAGAAAATGGTCCATAGATATGGATGTGTGGGTGAAGGAAGCATTTTTGAAATGGCACACTCCTTAAAGCAAAGAGGCAGAATGTAAAAAGCAGGATATGGAATGGCCCTATGAATTTCTTCAGGCAGTTGCTGTGGCTGGGCAGTTTTTCTGAAACTTTGCTCAGTTCTTAGGAAGAACGTGTAAAATACCCAGTGTCTTCCTGGTGTGAGCACAGCCAATGACCTGGCACACAGCCTTCCTGTCACAACCTGTCTAAGGTTAAGTATGTCCTGAGTGACCTTGTGCTGTGCACTCATGGAGATCAAACATCTTTATTTCACCATTCCTGCAGTGTGCCAACCTGCATCCTCAGAAACAAGGGATGCTTTGCATGTCCATCATGATACCATGGAACAAGGAATCAGAATGCTGCTATTTGTAATACTGCCCTCCAGTGCAGGTCGAAGGAGACTGAGAAAACGATCCTGCTCTCTCTCTGGGTGAGTCTGCGTGTCACGATGACGCACCCAAGCAATGAGCCATGGCGGGGTTGGTGTGCAACCCACGGTGCTCCAACTGGGATTGCCACAGGTTGTTGGTCCTCTTGCTCCCCCTCCCTGCTCAGTCCTCCTGTGCGGATTCTAGCAGATATCACAATAACCAAGTTCTCTTCCCCCTCCTGCAATGATCATGAGCCACTTAGTGCTTGCCGCGGCCTTTTTGCATTTTAAACTTCTTTTCCCTGGAGATTGCAAAAGCCAGCTGTTTTTGCAACCTCTGTTCTGACAGCTACACACAGCCCAAATGCCCTATTGCAACCTTGGAGAGCTGCCTATGTTTGCCAAACATATTTTTATCTTCCCCAATTTCACAATATCTGGCAAAAATATTACTTCAGTTCATATTCTGTACATGCACAACTGCAGATGTTTATGGTTGCCTGAGTATGGGAACGGGGAAGCTCAGGGTGCGCAATGTGTGTGTGTGTGTGGGGGGGGCCTGTGGGTATGTTTATTTGCCCCTTTAGCTACATTTGACAGCTGTCAAAAGATGGGCTGTCAAATGTAACCAAAGGTCCAGGTGATTTTAGGTTACAAAAGTGGGGTGGGCAGTTTGTTCACTCCCTTCATGGCAAGAGCTTCAGGATGCTTTGTCTTCTTGGACCTATGTCCTAAAGGGACCCTCTCTTTTAAACATGCAAAAGTACGAGTTGCCCCATTTACAGGAGTAGTCAGTCAGGAGTAGTTCGACAGGGATCAAAAGTAAACCTCCATTGTTAAAGTAGGATTAGGATATGGCAGGAAGCTATTCAGGACTCCCATCCCTGAACTGCTTAGGACTCTAGTGAAGGATTCACATCCAGATCCCTGCATAACAGTATCTGTTGTAAGCAAGCACACATGCATACGCACTTGCATGTACATACGTGCACATGCACGTACACCTCCCCCACTGCAGTTAGTTAATGGTGGCATAAGGAGAAATACAGCTCAGCTACTGACAGAACTTTCATTTACTTTGCTTGCTCACTTCCTGAGGCCGGAAAGATCTCTTCCCCATACTCACCACAGTGACTCACCTGCATGGCCCACAGACACCCAGACAGGAGAACTACTACTTCTGCGTGAGGCAGGGCTCAGCTCTGACACACCATTATGAGCCTGTACAATGAAGCTGTAATTAGTATAAGCCTCCAGGCCATCCACAACCACACTTGGCCTGGTGAGGCCTAATGCGCTGGGGGAAAACAGCACGCCACTCTCGCAGGGTTCGCAGACCAGGTAGTGGCAGCGTTGACACGAGACGTTGTAGGAGAGGTCTTTGCGGCCACCGTGGTCAAGGGGCGGCTGCCACCAAAGGGAGACCTGGGTCCCCACGAGGGAGAAGCTGACATTGCGAGGAGCCGAAGGAGGGCCTGGGAAGGCAAAAGAGGGAGGCAGTTCAGTTAAACACTTGACCTTCCAAAGAGTTCTGAATCCTGTCTTCAGAGATCTCAAAACTGATATACTCAATGCACACCCAACAGAGTTCTGTGCTGGCCCATTCACCTGAGGGCCAAGGTAATTTTTTTTCTTGTGCTGTCCCTGGGCACAGCTCAACTGGACAAAACATGTTTTATTTATTTCAGCGTAGACAGGGATTGTGTGGCCCTTACCCAGAAAAACAGAGGGAGAAATGGAGAGGTTATTTGGTTCAGTGCACTGGATTCTATCATAGAATAGTAGAGTTGGAAGGGGCCAGAAGGTCATTGGGTCCATTGCAGGACACGGAGTTAAACCACCCCTCTCTTTGTGCATCTGCTCCACATCCTATAATAGCCAAAGTGAGGGATGGGAGTGGCTAGCATGAAAATGCAGATACAATCCCGTTGCTTCACTACAGTGAATGCATCTCAAGGGCTGTGCAAATGGGTCTTGGCTCCCCAAAGGGCCCATTCTACCTCCCTGAAGGTGCTTTTCTCCCATACGGACTTACGGGTGCAGGCGACAGTTTGGTCCTCGGTGGATGTCCGAAAGAAGCCTTTGAGGCAGGGGCAGCCTGTGGCTGCAGGTGAACTGGAGGAGCTGTTTGGGGGACATTTGAGGCACTGCTCCATCTCCAAAGAGTGGCGATAAAACCCTGGTTGGCAGGCTGTGGAAAGGACAAACAGACCATGAATGCTGCCCAAGCTAATGAGAGCTATGTTTGCTTGTCTGTTTGGATCTGAGCAGTGATCAGATCCCTTGACCAAATCCCAATTAAGCTTAGGAATAAATCTTATTACAAAAACAATCCCCCAAGCAGGATCTGTAGAATAGCTTTAGCTATTCCACTGAAGCAAAGTTCCTTCAGATCTACAGAGGTTGTTTCCAACTTGCAAAATTCACAGAGCCCCCACAGCTCTTATCACACAGGCAAATCCACCTCAGAAGTAAGTCTCCTTTGAAGAGTTGGCATTGCCTGTTCAGCACCACCTCGTTTGCCAGTCTGTGTTGCTCTCCTCTCCCCAATACACATCCTTCCTCATGTTTGCTTCCCTATCAAAACCAGTCCAAGGTCTCTCCTGCTGCACCCTCCTCCACCCAGGTGAGGCCGGGCACAGTGTTGCCCAGGACCTTGAGCAGGGATTGAGGCAGCTGTGAGCCACCTGCAGCGTGGAGTTGGCTGGGTATCATGGGACACAGCATGGGCATCATGGTGCACGTTGCCCTGAGATGAGCTGGAGGCTGGCAAGCCCCCTGTAGGTTGTGCTTTCAGCAGGACATACAGACGGGATAAGAAAGAGGGCAGTTACTCTTGGAGGGTCTGTAAACAGGGCAGTGTCTATGCCACAGTTCTACAGATGTGCAGAAAAAGCACAGGAAAACTGCTAGGTGCAGCTGCAGGCCAAACTATTATTTATTATATTTATATCCTACCTTTCTTCCTTAAAGGAAGGTGGCTTACATAATCCTTCTTCTCCTTTTGGTCTTATCCTCACAACAGTCTCGTGAGGCAGGTTACACTAAGACTCTAAGACTCTTCAGTAAGCTCACTGGGCGACTGTCCCAAAGTCACCCAGTGAGCTTACTCTGAGCTTAAACACCTCTTGCATGCAGATGGAATAGACATGGCATTTCCTCATTTATTGTGTGCTTGTGATCCCTCACTCATGGAACTCTGTGGGGCTTTTTCACAATGTGGGCATTCTCCAGGGCCTCTCCCAAGCTTTGCAGCCCATTTCACAGCTTTGTTAGAGCAAGCAAAGTCTGATATTTTTTCCAGATGGTCCCACTATTCAATATAGAAGCCTCTTGCATCTTGTGATTGTGCTCTATGCCATAGCGCCACCTTGTGTTGTATAATGGAACACACAGCAGAAAAATCCCAGAGCAGGGAAAAAACTTGCATGAAGGCTGTTCTAACCCTACTGCAAAAACAAAACACAAAACTCCAGAAGTTAATAACAGGTTTTATGCTTCATGAAAGGGAGGCTATTAATTTCCTCTCTGAATTCCACACTTAGGAATCTTTCCTTTCTCTCTCCCTCTCTCTCTCTTTCTCTCTAAGGAGAGGGTGGTGATTGGTATTAGGGCTAAAACTTTTGACATGCATCTTGAGACCTTATTGGACAGACATGGGCCCAAAATATAAACACAATAATAACAATCTGTGAGGGAGGTACAGAGGGTCTGTAGTTATAGAGAATTTGTATCTTCGCAGGTTATACAGACCTTATGGGATCCAGGTGTCAGTGTAGAAGCCATGTTTGGACCACCATGTCAAAAACTTGGGCTTCTCCTCTTCCCCAGGCGAACAACTATTCACTTATATGGGAGAAAGAGGTATGCATGGGGACACCTCTTCCTTTTCGCCTGGGTGATTCCAGCCTGCCACTATCTCACCCACACATTGCCACAGTCCTGTCCTGGGGCTGAGTGCTCGTTTCATGAGGCTGGTGCGTCAGGGAACATTTGGAACTGGCTTTGGAACTGCACCACCCCATCTTATTCTGGGGAAAAGCAGCTGTTCTAGATGGCTCCCGTGGGGATAAACCAGGTTCCCAGGGCAGCCATTAAAATCAGCACTTTAGGTCCTCATCTCAAACTTTCCCACTGGTTCCCCAGACCCATGCATATCAGAAGGGCCCCTTTCCACCACAGCTTCCTCTTCTGATTCCTCAGTCTCCCCTGCATGCCCTGATTGTCAGCCAAGAGCCACCACCCTGATGGAACTGGTTCTCACTTCTGCAGGCAGAAAGGCAGGTGGGAAATGGTTGCGTGGGCGGCATCAAGGGAGGGCAGGAGGCCTGGGGAAGGAGGCAAAGGTGAACAGGAACATGGGCAGCAGGTGCCAACTGGATTATGTCACCACAGGGAGGGAATGTAATGGAAGAGAGACAATCTTCTTCCTTTTAAAAATATCCCACAAACAAAAAAAGAGACAGCAGGTGGCAGCATGCACTGTATGAAGGTAGAAGCTGATTTTTCACTTGTTTTATCTCCAGACTGACATAAATACACCCATCTTTTCTGAAGCTAAGCTCCAAAGTTTGTCCAAATGTTTGGGTAAACTTGGGTCCCATATGTGGGGACCCAAGTAAAATAGGATTGGCTTAGACCAAGTATTCTCCCTCAGATGATAAAGCTGCACCTGAATGATACATTTTAGAATGCAGATGAGTACCTACAGAGCTGAAATGCATGAAAGATCCCTACACATCAAAGTTGTGTCAGGCAGAGGTTTCTAGGCTAGCTCCCCCTGCTCAGCACATTAGATTTCTATGCAGATATTTTTTTTCTGGACTAACAAGCATTCAACCACGTAAGCCTTCATCTTACATGAGGTTCACGTAAGTGAGAACAAGGCCTGAAAGATTCTTTTCTAAAATGCAAAGAACGCAGAAGATGAAATACATTGGACATGCTGGAAAATGTGAAATAATTCAGGTGCAAGATGCCACCTGAAGTCCAGTTGCTCCTTCAATCCACAAGTTGCTGGGATTGCCCTGTCTTGGAAAACAGGGAATAATTACTTCTTATTAATCAGGGCTGGATTAACTCAGAGCAGCCAGGTTGATTTCCTTGTAGGGAGGCATGAATTGCTGGGTGTTATGTCTGTTCTTTGCCAGTTCTTTGCCCTGAGGCGAGTAATGCCTCTTACAAATAAGCTTCTTGTGTCTATTCCATACATGATGCAGTAGCAAACTTGGATTTCCCACACTTGTCAGCAAGCTGCAGCCAACAGTGGATGAATGAACCTGCCCAAACCACATTTTTGCAAACATGTCCTATGCATGGAGATAGGCCAAATAAAACCCAAATCCTAACATGGGAAGAGGCCCTCAGAGACATCTTTTTGGAACTAAAGTGGATCAGTGAAGCTGTGTCTCCTGGAGTTCTCCGCGTGCTCCAGCAGGAATATCCCAGTGCTATCCGTCTTAGCTCTTTTGCCTGGGATGCTGCAACTAGGCCTTGTCCTCTGGCCTGCAGAAGGCCCAATCCTCAACCCTGAGCCAGGCAGGCAGATGGGAAATGGATGTGTCTGTGGAGGGCCGAGAACAGGCAGAGACACCCCTCCGCTGTGTGGGGGCGGCAAACAGTGGCACCAGCTCAGCCACCACCACCCAGCAATTATCTTTAACAAGGCCTGTATGGACTCATTAAGCAGAAGGAAGAAAAGGGAGCTTCCACCCTTACTCTCACAGAGCAGCAGAAAGCTCCCGTTAGGGAAGGCAAGCCAGCGGGACCTTTCCCTGTATAAACCATACTTTCTCTACCCAGGGCTGTCTCTATATTCACACAACAAACTGTTCCCACCTCCAGTCCACCGTGCTTCAGGGAAAGGAGACGAGCAAGCAGGACAGGGAAGTTTTGCCCTCTCCCTAAGTAGCAGTCTGGCAGTGCCCAAAGCTGTTGCTTTTATTTATTTTAGTATGTATAGGATGCCTGATAGGCCAGGAGTCCTCCCATGGCACCTTATAAGCCCAGAATGATGAACAACAACAACTACAACTGGATACCCTAATAAAATGTCCAACGTTCACAAATACAACAAACAGGAAAGCAACAAACACCAGCATAAAATGCTGCAATAAAAGCCTATGGTAAAAATGCATCTACAGCCCGAACAGTCCAGTAAAATATAATCGGGGGAAAGCAGAGTAAACAAGTACTCTTTCCTAAAACCTTGCAAGGACAGGACATGGTGCACCTGCAAAAGCAATGCATTCCAGAGGCATGGAGCCACTGCTGAAAAGGCCTGCTCTTGTTACAAGCCCGCCTAACTAAGCACGCAGTTGAGAAGTGCTTCTGTGGCTGACCTTAAAGTGTGGGCAAAGTGACAACTGTGAAGGTTGATGGGATGACGTTTTAAAAACGGTGACATTTTAAAAACTAAGCAGGCCTCAAGCTAGTATGTATCCTGAACGAGAGATTTCTACCTGCAAGTTGCTCTGAACTTCCCCACTGGAAAGTCAGAGTGGGAGAGCCAGTGTGGTGCAGTGGTTAAGAGTACAGGGCTGGGACTCAGAAGATCTAGGCTCTAGCCCCAGCTCAGCTGTGGAGCTCTGGGTGACTGTGAGCCAGGCACAGACACTCTGCCTAACCTACCTCACAGGACTGTTGTTGTGAGGATAAGAGGAGGAGGAGAATTGTGTAAGCTGTCTTGAATTCCTTGTCAGGGAAAAAAGGATATAAACAGAACAACTAAAAAATAATTTAAAAAGCTAATTCACACCCATTATCAAAAATTTGTCCTAAATTCTCCAGCAGGGGTCAGCACGCAACCTCCCACCTTTAAAAAACTGGACATTCCAGAACCCCAGACCTAAAGGCATTCCCTATGCCAGGAAGGCACAAACCTGGAGCCAACATTGCTTTTAAAACTGTAGTACCACAGTGACATTGACTCTGTCTCTTGCTGCCTTCTCCTGTTCTTTTCTGTGTCTATGGTAAACGTCACAGCATGGACTATGTGTATTCTGCATCAAGTATGAAAACACTACATAATGTGTTGGGTACCGATGATTAAGGATTTCATTTGACACAGTTTTGCCAGCAAACCCACCTGATTTGAACCCCCCAAACTAATATACAGTTCAGAAAGCCATTATTCTTCCATTTTCATACTTCTCCGAGTTTTACAATACAGTCCTTGGCTCAAAATTGCACTAAAATGCATAATTTAAATTAAAGTGCATACATACTGTGTATTTTAGGATAAAATGCTCAAAATACATGTATTACATACAATAAGGTTAAAATGTGGGTTTTTTATTTTTTATATGTTCTTCTAAAAATTATCACAGATTGATGTGGAAGTTGGATAGAAGAGATGTATGAATAATTTCACTGAAAATAGAAGTGGACTGATCTATCCATCCAGACACTGATCAGAACCAAGAGAATCCCAGTTTTCATTGACAGTACAAGGACAAGTTTCTAGCTCTTATGATTGCAAAGATAAACTTGAAAGTGTGCGGACAGTGCCAGGTGACATGAAAGTTACAAATTAAAGGCGGTTTCAGTAGCACTAGCAAACCTGTCTCTGTAAGTGTGGCACTTAGGTAGCCCAAAGGCTATGATGCAGAGGGAGGAAGGGGGTGAGGGAAGTCAATATGAAACAGCAATAGATCTTACATATGAGTAGTCTAATACAGTATGTTTTTTTAAAGCTAGGTGGCCCTCCCTCCAAGGGAGGCCACAACAAGTTCAAGATGACAGCTTTGTTTCTCATTTCCATCTTTTCTGCCCATCCCAATATTGAACAATACAGATCAGGGCTTTACCACTCCCCCCCTTTAGCCCTTTTCTTGATCGTTTGGAGGGGACCACACCCTGATTCTGGAACAAAGGCTGAAAGGTGTATCTCTGGCATGCTCCCAACAGGGTGGGTCCAGTAAAAGGTTTGAATCAAGGTCTGATCTTGAAAGCACACTGAGGTCTGACGCCAGCCTGGATGCCTGGGACAGAGATATACCAGTAACGCTGCCAAATTTGCATGATTTTTATTGCAAGTCTTGGTAGCTGGGAACCTGAAAAGTATCCAGAAAGGCACGAATTATTTCTCAGTGAAAGGGAAACACTCCTCATCCTGGTACATGGACAGTATATGACAGATCCAACATAAAAACGTGTCTGAGGAAACCCTGCTTCAGAGTGCAATCATACGCACGTGTAGACAGAAAAAAGCCCTGCGACTCCCAGCTTTCCTCAGCCAGGAACACTCCTGAGTTGTAGGCCCCCTTTTCTGACCAAGCATGCATAAGACTGCAGCCTTAACGATGCACGGAACTGCACTCTAGCAAAATGTCCAACCTTTTTGATGACACACCTTCTGTGTGTGTGTGTGTGTGTGTGTGTGTGTGTGGAGTGCAGCGCACAAGACACAGTACACCTCACCCTCACCTGGGTCCCTCTTGGCGAGATCAAACAAGTGGCAGGCAGGTTTATGCTCATTACAACTCTGTCTCTGAGTGCAGCTCTTTCAGCTTCCCCTTCTGTTTGAATGGGAACCATTTGCCTTTGTGGGAGAAAGCAGAAGAGGGCACTGTATGGAGCATAAATCTGTCTCCCTGCCCCTGTTCACTTTGGTGCCTGGGAGCCCAGAGCAGGTTTTATACCATCTCAAGTGTGCCCAACATTGCAGCCTGCGGCAAGTGTGCTGTGAATGCTGGCCATTGCCTTTATGTAAATAGATTTGGAGCAAACAGGCTATTCTCATGCCTGTGCTGCACCCAACTTGAGCTAGCAACTGTGCCTGTCCCAGACATGCCTTTTCTCTTGAGGAAGACCCACAGTTTGATCTTGCCTTCCAACTCCAGCCTCATCACCAGTGTGAGAAGCAAACACTTTTCCTTTGAACTTGTTGTCTGGAGACACCTCTGTCTTTGGCTCTGCCGAAACTGGGTAATGGCGTAGCTCGCATGTCAGCTACTGCCTGGGAGAGTGCAGGAAGGACCTGCCTGGGCAGGATGCGCTCCCTCTCCCATTCCAGGGGACTGTTCACAACCCAGGAGGGTGGGGAGAAAGCAGTAATAGTAGCTGCTAAGTGGAAAAACTGGCTGAGCTGTGGAAGCAGAGGAACAGAGAGGGAAATGATCCAAGGCTGGAACATGTTCACAGCTCTTCATCTCATCCCAGGGACAGGTAAGGCAGAATTCTGCAAGAACTACCAAGCTTGAAGCAATTACCCTGGAACTTCCAGAGTTGCAGATGGCTCTCCAGAATAGGGCATCGCCAGGCAAAATCTAAAGAGAAACATCCTGTGGGGATATGATAGTATCTCAGTATCCGTGCATCACCCCACAGCAAATAAGAACAGGAAAGTAACCGCATAAGAAGAGGTGTGCTGGATTAGATCAAAGGCCTATTTCATTGCAGCATTCTCTTCCTCAGCAGCTGATCCTGACAGATGTGTTGTCTCTGATACTGGAAATAGCATCCAGCCATCCTGACCAAGTAGCCACTGGTAGTGATATCTTCCACAAATCTGTGGAGTCCCCATTTAAAGCTGCCCAAATTGGTAGTTGTCACTGCATCTTGTGGTAGCAAATTCCATAGCTTAGCTTGGAAGAAACACAAAGTAAGCAAGGCGGCATGCCAGCTTCTATTGCTGCAGATGTATGAACGCTTTCGAGTTACACAGAACCCTTAGACAGAGTGCTAACATAAGAAACGTTACAAGAACCCTGCTGGGTCAGACCAAGTGTGCACCTAGTCCAGCATTCAGCTGACACAGAGGCCAATCAACTTCCCAAGGGAAACACATGAGCAGAATTTGAATGCAACAGTACTCTCATGCCCATGTTCCCCAGCCACTGGTGTATGTAGGCATGCTGCCTCAGATAGTGGAGTCATCAGGACAGGTAGCCACTGATCACCTCTTCCAGCATTTGTCCAGTCCCCTCTGAAAGCCATCCAGATTGGTGGCCCCCATCACTGCATCTATACCACAACAAACCCCTAATTATAGGTTTTCTTTTCAAAACAAGCATTATACATTCTCCAGCTACTGTGGGAGAAGATGCCTCCCCACCTGTTCAATCCAGATGTTGGCCCATCCTGTCCTACAGCTAGACTTGGATGTCATTGCAGGTGTATCTTTTTGATACCTGTCCCTCTTTACAGGCAGTCCCCGAGTTACAAACACCCAAGTTACAAACAACCTGTACTCATGAACAAATTGTCATATAGCCCATTAATTTAAAAAATACTGTGGAAAATCTTTATCACCACAGAGAGAGAGAGGAAGTGAAAGGGGAGACAGGGAGGGCTCCAAAGCAGGCCTTCCTGCCCCATCCGCCCAGACAGGGAAATCTCTCCAGCATTTTCCTGCTGCAAAGAGAAGGCACTGGTGAGTTTGGGAGGGGGGTGTTTGGAGATATTTGTGCTTTTCCACTTTCATGGGGGACCTGCTAATGTGGAGGGCTGACTATACACGATCCAAATTACATACAAGTTAGACTGAAAGACAAATTTCTGTCTTCTCAGGAATGGAACTTGTTCATATACTGGAGAATGTCTGCTCAACAATGGGAGAATAGAGAATATGGGGCAGGGGGAAAAACAACATCAGTGAAATTAACTGATTTTTATCCTGGTTTCAGCACAAAGCAGCCAAGGGATTCTAATGGAAATCTACACTGGTGAAAGTGACACACTTGGTGGAAAGCCCCCTCAATATCATCAGTACTGTTCTCCCAATATACCATGGCAAAAGTGAAAATGTGGACTACTGGCTTTTTCTGAATGTGACACCTCTGTAGGAACAAACAAACAAGCAACAGCAGCAACAACATATGGATGGTGGAAGACATAAAATACTTGTCTTCCAAGTATTATTTAGAGGTGACACAAAACTATCCAGCAAGTCAGGCCATCAGTCCATGTAGGTCAGCATTATCTGCATGAGGGCCAGAGGCTCTCCAGGAGTTTCAGCCCTTCCCAGCCCTGCCTAGAGATGCCGGGAAGTGAACCCATCCTCTGCAAGCAAGGCATTCACTCTAGGCCACTAAAAATTGGTGGCATATTTTGAAACCTTTGCTGCCTCTCCATTGTATCAGAAATTCTATGGAGTCTGGGGTGGTAGCCATTTGCTGAATTAAGGGTAGCGGAGTTGGAAATGCGCACACAACCAGTTTCATAGAAGATTCTTCAGCACTGCTTTCACTGAAACAAGTGGGAGCTGCACAAGATTATGGAACTGATCCTGTTTGTTACAGAGGAGAACCTCTCACATGAGGTTATTAGTATTCATGGGGTTAAGATATTTTAACACTAATATCTTACACTGCTATAAGGACAGTTACCTTTTCTATGCAATAATTCTTAAACATGGGGCTTCAGATGTTGCTAGACAACAACTCCAGCCAGCACCGCCAGTGCTCAGAGATGATGTACATCTGGTGGCCAAAAGCTGGGGATGACTTGTGTGCTAGTCAGTTTCTGAATTCTCAAAAAATGGTTTAGGACAGACTGTTTGTGGAATCACATGTTTTATTGGTTGGCTTTAAAGGCCTGTAACTCTATTTACTCTTGTTGATTTTCTTATGATATGTTTGTGACAAATACTGTAACAAACACTATTAATGTTAGGGTGCTCATTCGTGAAGATATCATCTGTACTTTCTGCCTCAGGTTTCACAAGATCTCAGGTGGCCTATATGCAGGTACCACACTGGCCCAGTTCTTGCAACCCACATATCGGTTTAAGGGCTGCAAGACACCTGTTGGGTGAATCTGCATCAGTCACATACAGTTAAATCCCAGAAACCCTTGATGGAAACCAAAGGATGGATATGCCGAACTGGTACGCTTTACAGTCAGAAAGAGAGTGGAACAGATAGTCAGCCTAGGAGTCAGGAAGGTGGAAAGCGTCTGATGCATATGAAACGACAGAAGTCAGATTAGCTGGTATGCCTACTTCAGGTGCATGCTATGAGTATTAAAAATAACAACAGTCTGATTTTTTATAGCCTGAGATTTCCTCAAAGCCCACCTCCTAGCTTGCCCCACTGTGTACTTACCCACACATTTTCCTGAAGCCTCTTCAAAGCCAATGACACATATGCACCGACCCACCGGTATCAGCCACTCCCCATCAGAGCTGCAGTGCATCATGGGTGGAAGTCCCACTTCCTGAACTGCATCCTTTAGACAGGTGCCGGGCACTTTTGCTACTCCTTCAGAACTGGCTAATGTCTCTGGGAAGTGTGCTAGTCTATGCACAGTGCTGGAGCAGGTCTTGTAGTAAACCCTCACAGAAACCAGTGCCACGCAAGCCCCCGAGTTCTGAAAGGCCAGATAGAAGCCACGCTGCTGCAGCTTCTTTATAGAACACACCTCCATGTTCAATTGCAGGGCACCCATCTCAATGTCCCGGGCTGTGAAGCTGCGGTCACCTGCCACAGTGTTGATCTAGAAGAAGAGAGAGTAAGGTTCAGTTTATATATTCCACAGAAGAATGTGCTGTATTTCCCTGAAATCCAGTTGCATGTGAAGTTTTATGTACTGAGATGTCCATTGATTTTACTCTTACAATCAGTCCTTATACCAAGTGTTCCCATCCTGTAATGTGGTCAACAATGAAGTTCAGAATGATGGAAGAATTTTAGATGATTTGCCTAGCATGCAATTCTATGCACGTTTAGACAAGAAAAAGTCCAACCACCCCCCACCTGCTATGTAAATACGTATAGGATTGTGCCCTTAATGACTGGAGCAGTCCTCCTCAATCTGGCCCCCTCCATATAGATGGGGACTGGCTGTGGGTTAGTCTCACACATCTGGAGGTTGGGGAAGACTCAACTAAGTTCAATCCCATCCCCCTATGGAATGCTGGGAGTTGTAGGCCTTTTTTCAGTCTAAGCATGCATAAGAGTGTGCTCATGAAGAGTTACTCAACAGCACTGAATCAAAACCATGTATTCAACACAGAAGGAAAACAGTAGGAGTGCTCAAAAGCACTCCGTGCTGCACCCAATTCTAGCAGCCAAAGGAAGTTTGAACACTTTCTCAAAATTGTTAAGAATAGAAGTGTATTCCCATCCTTTAAAATAAAGATGATATATGAAAGGTTGGGAATGAGGAATAATTCATTCAGCTATTGCCTTTCTGGTTTGGATATATTTTAAATTTCCATATGAATCAGCAATGTTATACGAGTTGGATGGTGTAAACTGGCGACCTGCAACAGTAAGGGGTTGGACCCAACAGTAAGGGGTTGGCTTTCTTGGTTCCTTCCACTATTCTAGGATTCTGTGACAGAGTATCAGCAAAAGAAAAAATGATCTGGAGACTATAATAAATTTGAAGATATGATAGTATAAAAGCAAAAACAAGATAACATTTGAATGAGAGAGATAATAAGCAAAATCCATAAAATATTATTAGAAATGATCAATATGATCCTCTTAAAGTGTCATGGGAAACTGACTTAAGAAGAAATATTAGTAATGAAGAGTGCAAAAATATATGGGATAAGAGAATATTAAAATGCATGTCAGTTAGAATGAAGGAAAATGTCTAGAAATTATGGAGATGCTACCTAACGCTGGTAAAATTGAATTGTATATATTCTAATATATGTTGGAGGTCTGGGCAGGAAGTGGGTATCTATTTCCATATGTGATGGGAATGTGAATACATAATGAAATTTTAGAAAGTGGTTTTTAAGGAAATTAGTAAAATGTTGAATTTAAATACTGAAGTAAATCCTATAATCACATTGTCAATATTTGATAGAGAACAATGGGGATGGAATATTAAATAATTAATAACAAATTTACTAATAGCTGTTAGATTAATGATAGCAAAGAATTGGAAAGTAAAATATAATTATCAGTTAAGTGATTATTATAGAGAAGTTTGGAATATACCTATTAATGACAGGTTAAATTGTGATATTAAGCCGAAAAAGGGTAAGATAAGTACAAACAATTCTGATGCTATTTGGGGATTGTTTATTAATAGAGTATGTATTAATAACAGGAAAGGGTTTTGCAACTTCACAAGATTCGATGTAGTTCTGGAAGGTGAGTGGGGCCTCCAGGGAGAGTAAACAATTTAATATGTAACCAAAGGTCCCAGTGAAGGGATGCACTATTTTTGTTGTTGTATAGTTTTAATTATTTTGGAAAAAAAGATTTCCCCCCTCTTATTTCTATTGTTTACTAATTTTTGTATGTTATAAATTTTGTTTGTTTTTGCTTTTTAAAACAAAATAAAAATAAAAAATTAAAGTGATCTGGAAATGTACTGGAGGTTAAATGGTTTGAAAGAGAACAACTCAGAACATTTCTAACAACTTTGTAAGAATATGCCTGGTCTCTACCACCTTAAGAACTAAAAAAAACAAACACACACCTGAAGGAACTGCAAGTCAGACCTGTGGCCAGCAGGTTCTGACAGGAATATTTACCAATATGATGGAAAAATTTAGAAGAGAGACACGAGCAGGATCCCTCCAGATGAGTGACTTGTCCGTACTTCTTATATTCTGGGTTTCACTGGTTAAAATCCGGAGCCCATCAAGTCCAGGGTCTTTTTTTCAACAGTGGCTAAGCAAATGCCTCTGGGAAACCCACAGGAAGGGCAGGGCAGCCTTGCTCCCTGCCTTCCAACAACTGGTGCCCTGATCTTGAACATGGAGGTATCGTTTAATTAATTAATGACAAATTGCTATCTGCCCTGTAAGAACATGTAACTTTAAATACACCACGGGTGCTTTGACAGGTTTCTTGGGTGGGCTTTGGATGCCCTGACTATGCACCAACACCAGTAAGCCAAGCAGATCCCACAGCAGCTGTGGCAAATCCAGCCTATGCAAAAGTGTCACAACCCATATACAAGAAAGTGTGATGTTGCCAGTGCCCGCCTCTGCCTCGCCTAGAGCTAAATCATGAAGCAAGAGTGTGGGCAGCTTCGGGCACAGAGGTGACCGAACTTGAACTTGGAGGCAGCTTGCACTGAGAGAAGAGGAAGAGGGCAAGTGAGCATGTTCAGGATTCAGCAGAGCTGGTTAAGTGACTAACCTACTATTGAGTAGAAAAAAACAATTAAGGCTCAAATATGTAAAACACTAATTTAGAATTGCAAATCAGGCATGCTGCTAAATTTCCTTTTATGAAGAGGAAATGTACAGGAGATTGCTCTTGCTCAACTCTCCATTTAGTTAACTATTCTGAAACTATCCCATTACATTTTAAACTATTCTAGTCAATCAAGGAAGAATCCTGTTAAATCGGCACACTAATTAGTTTGGCTGAATTCAATCTGATGATTCTAGTAAAGTCACTAGGCCTATTGGGTTTTAACTTCAACCAGATCATGCCCTTCTTATTTACAGATAATTGAATTATAAAAATACAAGTGCATATTAGTTATATTGAAGAGGTCAAACAACATTCTTGGATTTTAACATAAAAATCAGCACAATCATAACGACGAAAAAAACACTGTTTTGAAAACGTGACTGTTAAGAAAGGCAGAAGAGGCCAGATACTAAAAGGACTGTGCGTGTAATATGGATATTTATACCCAAATGCCTATAAGGCAAAAGGGAGCTAAGAGACCTTTCTCCTGCTTTTGCTAACAGATGACAGTACAGGTACTTCCAGACAACAAAAAATAAATTACTGTCTTAATCCCATTTCAGATGATCTCTTGACAGGGCTTTTGTTAGTTCTCAACTCATGCAAGCATTGCAAAGTTGATACTGGATATTGTGCTGTATCAAGTTCCTACACAATGGTTTGCTTCCTCCAGTGGAACACTGCAATGCTGAGAAGACCACACCTGCCCTTTCCTTCTCCTTGCCATTCGCTCTCCTGCAGCTGTTCCATGGAGGGAGAACCCTCTAGGCCAGGCAGGGCAGAGGCATGTGGACAACCATGGTTTTGTCTGGTCTTTGCAGCAGCCGTGAGAACTTGCTGGCATTGGGGAGGCAGCTCTTCATTCGAAAAGGGAAAAGGGAAAAGGGTGGTAGGAACAAGGGGACAGGGACATAGTTTGGAATTGGTGGCACAGTGGATGTTGGAAACTGTTCTGTCAAGCACCAGACAAGTAGTGTCCCTGGCAGTCACATCACCACAAAGGACTAGTTATGTGGCGTATGGGAGGGAGAAGAGAATGACATTTCCAAACATTGGAGGGCTTTGCTGCTGGAGTAGAACAGAAGCACTATTTTTAAAATTTTGAAGGTGTTGTCTGGGACCCCAATGTTCTTTGATGAGTGTGGAGGAAATATAAACAGATCTGGAGCAGGGTGGTTTTGTTTTTGTTTGTTTGCTTTTTTCTGTCTGTCTGTCTGTCTGTCGTTCTTTTGACTGCAGAGGATGTGTGAGTACACAAGCTTAAAAAGAACTCTAAGGTTGAGTTTGGGATAGACAGGGCACATCTTTGGTGGAGTACGAAGAAGGTTTCTGGCAGGTGCCTTGCCAACCTAATCAAGAGGGCTTTAAACTAATTGGTGGTGCAAGAGGCAGATGCCCAGCATTAACAACTATGCCAAGTATTAGGACAAAAACATAAGGGAGAAAGAAAGAAGCAAGGTGGTGCAGGTGGATCCCAGTAATCTGCGGCTAAATACAGTGGGAAAACTGGGAGACACATCATACAGGCCTCCAGTGTTTAGAAATCAATGCACAGAGCATGGGAAATGAGCAGGATGAACCTGAAGTCCTAACACAAGATGTTAAGTATGATGTGATTGGTATCACTGAGACTTGGTAGAATGAGTCTCATGACAGGAATACAACAACAGATGAGTATACCCTATTTAAAAGCAGGTCAAACAGAATAGGACATCCATGATTACACTTGCACAGAATTTCATGATTCTGAGTTAGGAGACTCTTGCAAAAGCTTTTTGATAAGGACAAAAGATTCCTCCCAACTCACTCATGGTAGAATCTCACTGGATACACCCATACAGAAATCCAGTGTACTAGGTTTGCAATCTCCTTCCACATACAGATAAGCAACTTATCTTTACCTTCAAAGCTCTGCATGGGCTTGTGATTTTTGTGCTTACTTCCTGGTGTGTCCCTGCTTATGACCTCCACGACTGAAAATCAGCTGGGCTACCGTCATCCTCCGCCATTCAAAGATTACCTATCCTCTTCAGTGATTCTGTTCATTCTCCTTGACTACCCTTTAGTCTTGGATCTTGCTTCTACATCTACAAATGGTGTCTCCTCTTTTCTTCTTCCTCTGGAAACTCACCGTGCCCTTGAAGGTGAGTTTAGCTTAACCCTTCCAGGGTTTAGCTCAAGTGTCCCAAAGTCAAAACAATGCTATTTCATTTGCACATTGCTGTCCTTGGACTACTCAACATGAGGCATTTAACCTGGCATTTTATTGAGGATTCCTCTTTTGTTTTCTTTTGGGGAGAAGTAGTTTCCTTCATGCAAGGGGTTTTCCTTTCTGCCTTTCTATATATTCCTATATGTTCCATGATAGTGCTGTGGTATAGAGGGGAATTACAAAAACATGAGGCCCCTGTGGAGAGATCCAGGAAAATACTGCATTTTCTTCCTACGAAAATGGTTGTGGAACATGGCAGAGGCCTTGGAGGAGGACTACTTTGTGTAGAAGATGCACATATCCTTTCATGAGTGAGGAATCACAAGTGTACCACAAATGCCTTGTGTAGAATTGCTCCGTGTCTCTTCCTTTCATCATTTATTTATTAGGTATCTATCCTGCCCCTTAGTTAAAATGGCTCTCTTTAATGTCCCCATTCCTAGTTTTTAAACTGAATGGGACATGGACCTTCCTTTTCCTACTCATGAAATTCTGTGTCTGGTAGGCATCATATAAACAAACAAACAAACCAAGTTTTGAACAGCTTTTCTGTCACATCAAGCCCTCAAACCCTGCTGACCTTGGTGAAAAGTGGCCGACGGAACTGGATGCCAACGTCATGCTCAGACTCCATGTAGTAGAGGTTGAAGGTCTCCTTGCAGCTCACCACCTCCCCTCTGAAACTCTTGCAGTCCCGGATGGTGAATGTCAGCTCCACAAAGATGTGTGAGGGGGCCTCACCTCGAAATATCCAGTTGGTGCGGAGCCAGTGGTCAGTATCTCCTTCAGAGGTGACGCTGCAGTCCTGATACATGTACACAGGGGTGCCGTTGATCATCTGCTGCACCTCACCCCACTGCACATGGGAAGGGAGAGGGGAAGGAAGACATGTTAACAGGTCGCATCTTGCCAGTTGTTAATGCTCTGATGGGCTGAATGAAATGGGGAGACAAATATGTACAGGACTGCTCATTAACAAACATTTTCCCCCATTGATCCTCACCATCAATTTCCTTCCTCCCATTCTATTTCCCACCCACTGTAAAGTTCAGCCTGTAATTTCTGTGCATCACAGGTGTGTATTTTTATTGTTATCCTTCCAAATTGTCATATTTACAAAATAAATGGAATGGATTAATGAATGAATGTATTCATTCTGGTGATCTGGTGATCTATATTAATGCTGCTAGATCACCAGATCAGCAGCACTAGAATAAAACGAGGAAGCAGAGAGCTTCCAGAAGAAGGAGGGGGAAAGAGGAATCACCATTTGCCCATTTAGAGAGCAAGGTTCAGGAATAAAAGGGGATGAGAATTAGCCTTGTGCACTGGGTGGTGGGGACAGTCTCCATTGCCCCACAGCCTCTCCTGCTTCTTTGGGAGAAACTTGCTTCCCTAACCAAGCTGGGCAAAGACAGTGGCCAGGCCGTTGTATCCCCTCATGGTATTTTGGGATAAAGGCAGCAACGGGTTCGCTTTGCTGACACTGCCATGCAACCGCACAATGGCTATGTAAGTACCACCTTGCTTTGGAAATCTACTGACAACGGCACATCATGACAGACTTCTGGCTCCTGCTCAGGGCATACCACACGATCTCAGGCGGTGGGGTGAGAAAAAGGCTAACAGCAATTTCTGGGAAAAACTCGGAAAACACTTTGCTTTTAAAGGGGCCATTCTTGGACAATGAAATCCCAACGGAGCCTCCAGCATGATAACTGCATTACGACTTACCAAGAAGTCCAACGTCATCATATATAGCCTGCATTGGCATTACAGGGTTTGATGCTGATACTGGGATTAATTTATGAATACCAGGATGTTTGTGTTACCATCATCAACACTACTTTGTGAAAGGTCACTGCTTATTTTACAGACATTTAACTTTTAAAGCAACTTTCACGGGGTCCCCCCTGCACCCCGCATTTCATTTCGCTCTGTCTTTACTGTTTACATTTCTCCTTCCTCGCCACCCAGCTGAGAACAGAGCTTCATACATCTGGTGAAGTAGATTCTTATCCGTAAAAGCTCGTAATAAATGTGTTAAGCTTTAAGGTGCCACAAAAGCCTTAAGTATTTTTTGTTCATAGGGCAAGGAAAGGCAAAATGAAGGAGAGTCCCATTCAGAGAGTCCCAAATAATAAAAATTAAATCCCTGCATAGAGAAAACTGGAATGTTAAGTAGAAGAGTGATTTCAAACCTTTCTTCATGACATGTTAGGGCTTTTTCAATATATAGGGAACTAAATTTTTTCAAGTGCAAAGAACCAAGTATTGCAGCTGCATTAAAGATCCTCTTCTCCCATATTCCTGGGCTGTCAGATCTGCCAGGGAGGCCCTTGGTCCCATCACTCTTACAGGAGGGCCTATCCCAAGGCTCTAGTAGTCCCTTCCTAAGGAGGTTCAGTTGGTGCCTTCCCTGTTAGGTTCTGGAAGCAGGAAAAACCCTTTTTGTTCCAGCAGGCATTTGGGAATGGTCTGGGCTGGTGAGTTTGTGCTGGATTAGTTTTACTCTTTAGATTGCTTGTAGTGTTTTTAATTTGTATAATAATGTAATATGCATGTTGTACAATTTGAATGTCTGATATAATTATATTTTTATCTTGTGCTTAATTTTGAATGTTTTAATTGTGTCAGTTTTTAATTCTATAAACCACCTTGAGTCACAATTATTGGGAGCAGGTGGGATATAAACAAACATGAATGTAAACATAAACACAGTACATCCCCTATTTGCAGTCTGGAGAAATAAAGTCCAGACACAGATTTACCACCTGAGTACAAACTAAGTTTTATTGGGTCCTAATGAGCAGGCAGATGTTATGGTAATAAGAGGAAAGCCTTCTGGATGAACGTGGCAGCACACAAGCTGTGCAGAAGTTCTGCTTTGATCCTTCTAAAGGGGATAAAATGAAACCCGCCAGCTTGAGTACATGGCTGGGGCCATTCTGAAAACTGTCCACCCTGGACAACTCACATGTGGGAGCAAAATCCTGCAAGTCACAAGCCCATGGCTTGCAGAGTGACAGCTGGGGTGGACAGGCAGCCATGATGGAAGCTCAGCAAATATACCCTCCTCACCTGCTCAGCAGCAAGCAAGCTGGTTGCTGTTCCTCACCGACATCATCCGAGAGGTTCAGGAAACGGATGATCAGTGCAGGGTGTGGGAAAAACTCTGTGTTTCACAATCCATATTAGTGTAATGCTCTTATTAGGCCAACCCAAAGATCACAAAAATGTGCACGCTTTCAGGATATCCAAATCTCTTCATCAGGCAAGGTATGACAGAAAATAGGGTGCGGGGTGGAGGGAAAGGTGGTCAAAGTGCATGTGTGGGTGTTTTGATTAAGGTGGTGGAGTTTAAATGCATTGACCAAGATTTCTGGGTACCACAGGAACATCCTGGAGCAAGTTTTTTGTATTTAGATAGACCTATGGATTTACTAGAAAAGAGGAAAAAATAGACTTCCTCATTTTGGGGAAAATATAATATGGAAATTGTTTTTTAATGCCAGTCCTTCAGCTGTAGGAGAAGACATTGTATTACAGCAAAAGAGATATCCTGTGTGCTGTCTAGTCTAAAGTGGCTTCCATTAGAAACAAACAAGTTTATTATGAATATTCCAAATCACAGTTGCTTTCCTTGACAGGAGGAGAACGCTGGATTTGCGGGCTTACTGACACTGCAAGCTTAAATTGGTTGGTATAAAATTGCCATGGCATCCCTCAAAGGATCTTGGGAATTACAATTTGGGGGGTGGGTTATGAGATTTCTTTTTTAGATATCTGTAGGCCCTTGTGAAATATGCCTTGTGAGCTATGGCTGAATGGCTTGGGCAACACTAACTGCACCTTGGTTTGGGCCAGCCAGTTTTGCCACATGAGGGTCTCTGCCATTATTGGAAGCACTTAGTGAGGCTGAGCAGGCAAAGCGAAATGCTTAGAAATGTCTTAGAAATATTTGCTATTGGTGTATGAATATGATATAGAGGTTTAAGCTGGGATAGAAAAGGGACTTGGACTGTCCCATTGTGTCTTACCAGTGGACTGCTAGTTTGGGGTCTAAACCATTCATATCTATGGATCTTAGACTGCCTCTCATTCAGCAAAAACATTTGTTCCATGTTCATTGGATACTGCAATGGCTTTTTAATAAGAGTTTGTCTAATTTAGCCAATTGCTGGTAGAGCAATGCAGTTCATGCTTCTTTTAAATACATTTTGACAAAGTTCAGTAGTTGCCTCTTTTAGGGCAGAGATTATTATATGGATAAATTTTGTACTCGAATAATCATGAATATTTATTAAAGTACACATTATTTAGAATTATTTATTAGCTTCATAGAAATTAACATATAGTTAGCATAAATGGATTCTCAGTGCCCTTTTGGGCAGTTAAAAGACTAGTATTACAATACTGGAAGCTTAAATACGCACTTTCTATCACAGAATGGACTGAAGAACCTGTAATACTTTCAAAATTTGAATGCTTGTGTATAGATGCTACTTTCAAATGGGTACTTTTGTAACTATCAGGTCTGTTTTTGTTGAAACTATATGTAGCTACTAGTGAGGTATGTTTCCATATATATATATATATATATATATATATATATATATATATGCTGTGTTTGTGTGTGTGTGTGCACGCGCGCGTGCGCACGCACATGCTATGAAATATAAAAAATCATGTATGTATATTAATAAGAATGAAAGAAAAGAGGTATCACTAGCCCTTTTAATATAAATAAAGGGAATGACTGTTTAACCAGTTTTTAAGTTTTGTGTCCCTGAAGAATTCACGCTCCCCCAACACAGATACACATTTCTTGTCAGGAATTTTGTAATTCTGACTTGGCCCCTAAAGGGGTTCCTTTAAAATGAAGCATTTGAAAAATTATCTTAGAACAAGCAACTGGTGTATTTTTAAGAACTCGGGCTGCATGCCGAGACAGAAGCATAGTGTTTTTCTGGAAGCTTCCTGCAGCCTGGTACAGATGGATGAGTTGCTGTAACTGCCTGAACTCTCTGTCAGAGATTACACACCAGCTGCCTTTCCTCCTCAATCCCAGTGTAAAACGATTTCTAGAGAGAGCAAGGTGTTTCTCATGGAGAGCACAAAGGCCAGGTAAACGGTACCCAATATGGATGAAAAGTGATGGGTGGCATTTGTTAGAATCTGTAGGCAGAAAAGCAAACAGATCAAGTGGAAGGCTTGTATTCCTGCCCAGTCATTCAGTTTGAGCTCAGTAGTTTTTAGATCAACAACATCAGATTAATTAATACCATGATGTCTTACAAGGTGAGGCCATGATCTGGCAGCAGAATACATCCTGTACATATAGATGGCGCCAGATTAAATCACTGGTATTTCCGGTTAGAATATTTCAGGCAGCGGGGTAACCCTTTGCAGGACATCCTCAACTAACAATTAAATTAATATTAATATTTCCAGGAAAAGGATGTAAAGTACTTTTTAAAAGGGCCCCAGGAGTTTTTTTTAGTTAAGGTGAGTTAAATGAAGAAAAAGTTCCACTGCTGAAAACCGCAAAATCGTATTGCATATAACTATAACAACTCTTAAGCTATCATCTGAAAACTTGGCATGCTTGACCGATAGTTGTGCAAAATGTTGAACTAACCCAATGAAAGTTGCCACTGGTACAGCAAGCTGCACATTGCTGTAAACTGACACTTTTTACTCCAAGCTGAGGATTGGCATATTATAGTGATGCACATTACTGAAAACTACTGAAGTACATTATTTGCCTTATTGCAGAGGTTTGCCATTCATTGTTTAGGTGAAATTCTGCATACCAGTTCAAAAGTTATTATTTTGCTCCACCAAAGCCTATGG